CTGTAACCATACTAAGCATGTGAATCTGGTTTAGAATGTGGTTTAGTTTAACTTGCTCTCGAATGACTGTCAGATGAAACAGCTCAGACAGCTAACAGGCTAAAAGGCTCCTGCAGTAATATTCAGAGTAAGGCTTGAAATTGAAATATTCTCAAAAGGGATTTGCTGAAAAACTGTATAACAAAGTAAAGAATGTTCTACCAGCTTCATAAGTCCTTGTTAATGTAGAGCTGCTGTAAGTGGCTAAATCCAGCGTGGAGAAGTGCAAGTACGCCTCAGTTAGCTTGGTGCTAATGCAATATAGTGATTTCCATAGAGCTAGCACAAATTAGCATGAATAAAATTAGTAACAATAGAAACTGAATAAAACAAAAACCTTTCAAAATCCATTATATCATGAACGATCAGATGCTGTGCTCTGCGGGAAACAACATACATTTGATTGTGAGGCACATCTTAAAGAAAAGACCTTTAAATATCTGTGGAAAACAATGCAGGTCTGTGGGGAACACTTACTTCCAGCATGGCTTAAATAAATAAATAAATAAATAAATAAATAAATAGATAGATGTTTGTTTTTATACCTGTCAGTGAAATTGCTAGGATGAGAGTAGTCCATCACCCAAAATTTATGTCTCAACTGCAAGGTGGGGCTCTGAGGAAGGGGATCAAAAAAGATGCCTGGTCAGTGTATTTCCAAAACAAAACAATCCACGGTGGTCTTAGCATGTTATTTCAGCCTGTTTGAAAAGCATCTCAGCATCTTCTCCCCTCATGAAGCCGCTTGAGAGAATGGCAGGAGTGTGCAAAGCTGCACCAAGGCAATAGAGACCTACTTAGAAGATGGTTTGGATTATTCAGCCTTTTGGTCACTGCAAAATGTAATATTTTACTTAACCCTTATTCTATAATAATAGTGAAAAAAATCTAAATAGATGTGTCCAAACATTTGTCTGGGTACTTTACATATTTCAAAAGTGCATATAAAACATGACAATTACCATAGGCTGTTTGTTAAGTCTTTAGCATTAGCTTACTGAACTGAAACTCAGTCAGTAGCTCAGGATCCTACTTTCTTAATCCTACTTATTTGAAACAGTACAGAACTTGGAAAATGGGCTTGTTTATAGAGAGTCCTCCCAGTGGATTTATCAGTTCATGTTTGAATGTTGTATTATTTAAAAAGAAATTCCACAGATTTTTCAAGATTTCTGCATACTTCTTTTATTGAGATGTAAACAGAGTCATTCAGAGTGGTTTAATGTGAAATGGTTCATTGTAGAGAAACTTGCCCACTCACATTTCTTTGCAGTGGTGTTGATAGGAACCAGGGGCTGAGATTTCGACAGCGCAAATAGTTTTTTTCCTATCCAAAGTGACCAGTGAACCTACATGTTGTCTGAATTTTCATACGTAATGTTAATAATGGTAAAACAGTGGTAAATCTGAAAAAATAATTTTTCTTTGGGGGCTATATAGCCTTGACATCTTGCATGTACCGCTCTACCATGAATGAATTTAAGAAATGTTTTAGGCCAAAACTTGTAAAACAATGTCTCAATCATCAACAGAGTTTTCATAACCATTTCATGTTATAACTTTTCTGTGAGGAAGCTCTGAGAGGCATTACTCTCTTCATATGTCTGGTTCCTAGCACCACTGTTAACAGTTCTGACTCTGTTTCTCTAGAACAGAACATTTCACACCAAATCCCTCTGAATTTTCAACATTAAATTATGCAGAATTGAACAAAAAAGAAATTGGTGGAATTCCTCTTTAACCCCTTAAATGGCCAGGGACCACCAGCAGGCCCAGAGTTTTATTACACACCTCTATATCCTAAGAATTGCTCAGCCAGTTTGCATTAAAGAGCCCCTGTAGTTACTGAATAATAAGCCATAGTATGTACTAAGCTTGGAATTTAAAGAGGTTAACTGAATCAACATGTAATCGCTCTTCTTGTTGTTTGTTGCTCATATAAGAATAAACGCTATAAAAATGATTTAAAATATACCATTTTAATCAAGCACACTTCTGTATTATGTAGGCAGTAAATCTATTTCAAGATTTTAAACATAACAATATATGCACAGTATGTCCCACAGTTTGTAGACACCTGCTCATCCAGCGTTTCATTTGAATTGAAAATAGGGAGTTTGCACCCCCTTTGCCACAGTAACAGCCTCTTCTCTTCTGGCAAGACTTCACACTGGATCACATGTGTCAGGCTTCAGACGTTGCAGGCCAAAACACTACAGACTTCAGCACACAGCCTCATTAAACACACCTGATTCAGCTCAACAGGTAATTAGCAAGGCCTTCATGAACTGAATTCAGAGCGTTAGATGAGGGTGAAACGCTAATCTGCAAAGCATTTTGGCCCGGAAAGTCCCCAGTTTGACATGCGTGCACTAGATGTTGGAACACTACTGTGAGGATTTGATTGCAGCTACAAGACTGAGAGAAGGAGAGAGTGAGAGAGAAACGATGGAAGCAAGCAAGCAAGAAAGAAAAAGAGAACTAGAAAACTGGGAGAGAAAACGAGTGAGAAATGGAAAGCAAGAGTGAGTGAGTGAGTGAGTGAGAGAGAGAGAGAGAGAGAGAGAGAGAAAGAGAGAGACAGAAGGAGCATGCAAAAGAGAAAAAGATAGAGAATAAAGGGAAATAGAGAAAGAAAGAGAGAAAGTGAGTGAGCAAGCGGACGATAGTGAAAGAAAAAAAACAAACGAGGGACTGATTAAGGGAGAGAAGTAAGAGAGAGAGAGAGAAAGAGTAAGGACAAGAGAGAGAAACAGTGGGAGAGAAAGAGAAAAGCAAGAGAGAGACAGAGATAGAGAGACAGACAGACAGAGAGAGAGAGAGAGAGAGAGAGAGAGAGATAGAAGCAGTGGAAGCAAGCAAGACAAAAAAAAAGAATGAGAGAGAAACAACAAAAAAGAGGGGGAGGGAAAGAGAAAAGGAGGGAGTGAGACAGAGAATGAGTGTCCACTGTTTTCCATACAAGGAGTGAGTCTGGCTGCAGTGTAAACAGTGTTAACTAGCTGTGAGTGCTGGAGAAATAAAGGCGATTGTGCTGCAGCTTGAATCAACACATTTAGTAGGAAAAACTGCTCCGTAATCAAAGCCAAGTCGTATTAAACACTGAAGACACTCTAGCTCAAAAAGCCCAGTGAAGCAGCAGCACATGCAGATCCTTACTGGAGGATGGATGGATTAATACACAGATCTCACAGGAGAAATCACAGCCTCGTCAAATCAAACTTCTCTGCACAGTCGCAGACTAATAATTAATCACACTGACTCATAATCACAGAACATGAATCATCTGATGTGTACAGCGCCTGCCATATGTACCGCAACAATGACACACAAGGAGTTTATTTTCCACATAAAAGCAATGTATTTTTATTTTTATCATTATTAACACCACAATGCTAACTGCATGCTTAAATCCTCACAAACTTCCCCCAAACTGTGTTGAGTCGGTCAGTAATCTCTAATAGACGTGCTTATGTGGTTTATGAAATACTGTTGTGAAAAAAAGTGAAAAGACTGAAGTTAGGCTTTAGTACTGTTTTTAGCCATTTTATAGACATGTTATAGAGAATGTTACAGAGTAGAGCCATAATGTTTATGGTGGGCCGAGGACCAAAAAGACAGAACAATACACAAATAAAGTAGGCAGGCAGTATTACAAATGTGCTTGTAATATATGTGTAACTATAAATAAATACTTCAAAATACAACTGTTATACTACTGATATGTAATTTTGAGCTCAAAATGAAAATTCAGATTCAGTTCAGTGATTTTAATTTGCCATTTGGTATACTAGTACTGACATTCCCTTTAGAATAAGATTTAGATGCTTTATGAGTAGCTTTATTTAAAGTAAAATGTATTTCTAGAACTATAATAATAATACAATAATTGTACGTGACAAAGAAAATGTAATGCATGTAATGTGTAATGCATATATGTAAATAGATAGATAAAATGTTAAATTCAGCAAATGAACAGTATTTGTGCTTTAAAATGTGCAGAAGTGTGTTCTCTGTAGAGGATGTGTCACTTATTTTTACCTACAAAATAAAAAAAAACATAATTTGACCAGGGGTGCACAAACATTTGCATACAACTTTATATACATAAACGCACATATATATTAAACTCTAGACTTTGACCTGGAATGCCCCTTGAAGTAATCTCTAATTGACTTACGTATGTAGTTTCTGACTCTGTGTGACTTCCTGTTATCTATAAACGTGGGAAAGAGTACAGACAGAATTCAGGCTTTAAGATGATTGTTGATAGTTTTATATGCAAAGCCATACACTGTCAGAAACCACATAAGCGAGTCTATTTGAGATTGCTTAAACTCAATACGGTTTGAGGCAAGTGTTTGATGATTTAGTCATGCAGTTTAAACAATTCCAATTTGTATTAAGTACTGAGCAAAAATAAAGGTGAGTTCTTTGTGCCAACAAAGTACTTCAGAACAAATTCACTTTATATCACTTGCATATTGTCGCTCTCGGAACAAAACCCTGTATCTCTAAAATGGTAACTTTACAGAAGAAGGACAAAACATATTCAACTTGTAATGGGCGTCAATGCAACCAGATCATTTTAAATTAATTTTGGACAATTTCTTTTGGTCCATTCATCATGAAATTATGCAAAAAAGTAAAAAAAACAACAAAATTTATAGATACAACATTTTTGCATGACAGTGACGATATTAAGCATGAAGTTGCTGTGCTCATAGTTGGACACTGATGTTGAGTGTTTAGTTTTTTTTTAATTCACACATATATATTTACCTATTAACCTTCCTAAACATGCATTACAACAGCTAAATAAGTGTGTGTTTGTACCACAGTTTGTGTAAATTGCTGTTTGCTGGAGTCGAGCCTTTTCCTTTCTCTGATCCACATTCATTATTTACTGTTTCTGCTGTTACTGTTCCACTCTAACACCACCACTTTCCTCTTCCCTGCAGGAGAATGGCATTCAGTGAGGAAAAAAGGTCAGTGTTTAAAGCTTAGTCATTTGTTTAAGGGCTTTTTTAAAGCTTACATTTATCAAAATCAGAAACTTGGAAGCTGGTTTTGGTGCAAGAAGTAGCCGAGGCTTCATTCAGTCTAATAATGGGACAAGTTTATATCTAACCTATTCATCATAGCTGAATCTGCAGCTATGGGTTGGTTTACCAGACAGGGATTAAGCCTAGTCCTGAACTACACAGAATTCTGGACAGAGATTCTCTATTGAATGGGAAATGTAGTCCAAGGCTAGGCTGCTTCCTAGACTCAGATTAAGCCCAAGTCTAGACTAAATAGAATTTTTAACAGTGAAACAACATTGACATTGCAGTTTAGTCTAAGCCTAGGCTTAATCAGTGTCTGGTCCATTGCAGTTCGAATGGGGTGTGAATGTGGATTTAATTCAAGTGTAAAGTCTGTCATACTGAACATCAGTACAGTCACACCACTCACCGTAACACCACTGACCATAACACTACTGACCGTAACACCACTGACTGTAACACCTCTGACAAAATAAATTCGAATCTGAGATTTTCTAAAATATATTCCACTTCAGTTTCAAACACACACTGTACACAGAAAATTACAAACATTGCATGTTTTTTTAATTTCAATTTCAAAATCATGAGTTTTCACCTGACGCTGGTTTTTCACATAAAACATTCATATTGCTGAAATGTATCAGCAGTATAACACATACATTACTCCATATATTTTGAGCAATTCAAAAACACCTCCTTGTTTTTTTTTTCTTAACATTTTGTTTCTGTAACACCACTGACCAAAAATCCTGGGACAAAATCAAACCATATTCTATATTTCATAATCTCAATTCAATAATATCAATTTGTTTTTTTACAATTTAAACTGATAAACAAGCCTCAAAAATGTTGTTTCACTTAAAAAATAATAGTGTGAAGTCACTGGTGTGACACTTTTTCACGCAAAATAAAAATACAAAAAATAAATAAAAAGAAGAATCATCATAGTTAATTATCATAATTATCATAATGAAATACACAGACATCAAATATCTGTGGTTATTTCTTGTTTTGAGCTCATTTTCATTGGGACCCCAATGGTGGAATGAGCCACCTAATGGTCATGTTCTATACAAATGAGTTCCTTGGCCTTGACCAATGATGCTGGATCATTTACAGTGTCCCCAAAATGTCTCATTACATACACATAACATTAAAATTACAGGCCCAGTGATGATGATGATACAGCATGTAGGACATGAGACATTCATTCATCTCATCTTTATGCTCTTGGAACAAAAGTGAAAAGTCTGAGCAAGTGGGTTAATAAGTGAATGAGTAAGTGAAGCAGTATGAAATCTGTGGCTTTGCTGTGAAACTGTATTATGTAAACATCCCGGCAGACAGAAGCTGGTGTGACCAAGCGTAGGATGAAGTGTCAGAACAGGAAAACTTCATTACACTTGGCCTTAAATAAACCACAGTGCATATTCTCCACCTTGCTTTACTCTCAAAGTTTCAATCACATATTTCATTCCTGTGTTGACTGTACAAATAAATAGTTATCAAACTGAATTTCTAAAAGTAACTGAAATTGATTTCTCTCTTTCCTCCAGGAGAGTTCCTGCCACCGAGGAAAAAAGGTTTGAAAAATAAGTAAAGAAATGAATAAACAAAATAATGAACCTCCTTATCAGAAATAAAGGGGCACTGTAGCCAAAATAAAAAGTTTTACCAATGATTCATCTATTCATTTATTCTATTCTGACCATGCATAATCACCTCAGTGCCATAATCTCAGGCAGGGCCCACCAGTGGGCCCAAAGTTTTATTACACAATTCTATAACCTAAGCATAACTCAGCCAGTTTGCATAGAAGTCCCTGTAGTTACTGAATAATAAGCCTGAACATGTAATATGCTTGGGATTTTCAAGTGAAGGGGTTCAAGCCTATAAAACACATTCTGATCATGCATCTCGAAGGTGGGAAGGACGTTTGCAAGAGAGCTAACATTACTGCTAGGAAGCTAAATATCACGTCTTGATTTATTAGCTCTACATCCATGGCTATACTAGCAGTTAGGACTTCTTTATCGCATTGAGGGAATTCCCTATGGTTGCATGACGTATTTATGCAACGCACACTGGGTACTGTAGTGAGAGAACATCGATGGACGAAAATACAAAAAAGGACACAAAGTTATGAATTCTGTCCAAGCGATGAGGCTGAGGGATGCAATGCTGCACTAAAGAATATTACATAACATAACAAATAATATATTAAATCGCAGCTGTTGGAATAAAAACTTGTATATCCAAAAGTGTAACTTTACAGGATGAGGAAAAATGTTCTTCACTCATAATGGAAGTAAATGGATAAATACATTTTTCCAAGTAACTTTGGACCACTTTCTGTTGGTCCCTTCATCATGAAATTTTGACACATAGTAAAGGGCAACTGGCCTTTTCAAATTAAGTTAAAAACTGGAAATCGCCAAAAATAGAGATAAGAGGTTCTGTCCAGACAGCAGCGAGATGCTGGTTTTTAACTAGAATGCCATTTAAGAGGCTAATAAATTAGGTTTTGATAAAACACAGAACATTTTATGTAATCAGTAATTTGTCTGCCTTGTGAAGAAAAGCTAAACGTTTCTGACAGGTTGCTGGTTTTAAACTTAAATTATAAGGCTGCCCCTTTTGTGCCCTCTGGGCTTGTTCTTCCTCTGAGAGATAAAGCACACACTCTAAACAACTCTTTCTTGTCAAAATGGAGAGAAAAAGTAATGCTTTTCTTCCTTTCCAGAGAAATTGTTGCTTCATGACAGTAACAAAATGCATGTACCTTTTCTGCATGGCAATGAGAAAGCAATCAGCACTAAAGCAGCCAGCATGTCACTCCATCATGCATTAACGCCTTTATGAAAAGATCATTAAATCACATCTGAGCGCTCAAAATGCTACAGCTATGACAGCAAACATCTGAAAACATTCATTCACTGGTTTACAGACCAAACAGTGGAGCTTGTGAATTGAAAAGATAATTTCACTTTTGTAGTGCAATAGCTCTGTGGCTATTCTCATTTAATTAGAATGTCTTTTTTTGTAAATAGCACCTGCACTGCCGCTAATGCATTTGCTCTTCTTAATCACATTTAACCTCAAGGGAGCTCCACACAGCCTTTGATATATATGCTGTATTCAAGTGAAGTGTCTCTTTAAACTGGAAGTGTCAATTAAATATATTAAACACGCTTTGCATGTTCTCGGAGCATCTCATTATTAGATTTCATGGCAATAGGGGTCTATCATCATTGTAAATGGTCATGACTAGGTTTTCCTTTTTTCTCCACAAAAAATAATTCAGTTAAAATATTACGTCCTGATTGCATTTTTGCCTCCATGGATTTGTGGATGCTCATTAGTTTTAAGCTGCTCTAATTCATGTCTTTGCGCTGGAATTATAAGACTAATGTGGCTAGCAAGTAACAGACGCCTAGTTAGCATTGTGCAAACATAGTTCTTCACACATCTGCTTCAGACTGTGTCTTAATAGACTTGCTCATGCTTTCTGACACTTTTATCCAGTGGTGAATTACTATTGACTATTGACTATTAATGCTAGGCCTTTAGTTTGGGCCAGAAATAACCTAATTCAGTCAAAACACACCATGATAATGCTAATGTCTGCAAGCGCACATTCTATTAGTATGTTAGCACTAAGCTAATGCTAGAACACTTTTGACAGTTCATAGATTAAATAACAGACATTTGAAGCTTGTTAAAGACATTTTGACCTAACAGACTTAAGTCTGTTTGACCTTTAACAGACATAAGTTTTACATTGACTTTTCAGTAAAAAGCCTTTCCACAAAACTGGCAAGTTTTCCATTTCTAACAACTGACTGAAACCCAGTTAAACTACTATTTATACGGTCAGCGACGTATCTATGTCTTCTAGAAGGCCCTTGGCAGGGGTTTCCAATCTTATCCACAAAGTTTTAACAATTGGTCTCAGTCCTCAAACAACTAATGATAGCTACGTTCCAAAGCCTAGACTGCAGCTGAGGTAGGCGGCATTTCTCTGCTCCCATTTCTCTGTTATAGAAGGCCATTCCAAAGTGAAGTACCCTTTGTATACAGCCTAGAAATGCAGCCTACACTCTGAGTGATTTCAGATGCAACAAATGTATCTTTCCAAGCCTTTGGGTACCCACACTTCTCTGCACATGAACAACGCGAAGGATAAAAAACCAGCACCATTAAAATGGCGTTGTTCATGTCCTTGAATTTGTCTTCGTTACCTTATAAAGTGTAAAATCACTGATTATTCAAAGCATTCATCAATATATCATATATCAACCATATAGCATATTTTATTAAGACGTATTTGTATATATGTAGTTTATTATACTACATAAGAACATCTCCTCCATTTCAGGGAAGAAATGAAAAAGCAGCGAAACACAAAATGCAACGGGTACCAATTTCTCACCAGTTCCCTCACAAGTTTCACGCCGCAAGTGCAAGAGGTAGGACCTTCCTGGTGACGTCACCACGCAGCCTCGTTAGGATTGTTCCATTTGTGTGACCAATAAGCTAATGAGCAGGAGTCTTCATAGGACAGTTCTACCAAGGACCCGCCCTACCTCGTCTGCAGCCTAGGCATTGGAACGCAGCTGCAATCAAAATGTGATTGGTTGATTCCAGTGTCACTTCCTAATTATGATAATGATTAATCTAATGTTTAAAGCTAGTAGCCCTGTGAGACCGCCATACTAGACTACCACCTCGCTATTTTCTATACAGGGGCACAGGCAGTATAGGCCGTCCTGTTTTTTAGGTGGTTTTGGAGGGAATGTATAATAATTCAGTAAACGGTTAATGTTAGCTGGTTAACTTTTTTCCTTCAACTGTGAATAACAAGCGACATTATGTCGACAGAGGAACATTTCTATGTTCTGAACATATGAACATTTCTATTTTGCGAGGTATTTTTCAGAAAGAGGACGTCACAGCTTGATCTCTTATTTTCTATCGGCTGATGTTTCTGAGGTTCATGAATTTAAAGGGTTAAAGTTCACAAAGATGATAAATTTATTAGTAACAGAAGCATTGATTTTTCATGTTCTCACATCCTTTCCCATTCGAGTGTATTGGCTTTTTCACCTGGCACCTTTTCTCACATTCACTGTGACCGCAGCTTAAGGCCCTCAGTCTGGTCCTGAAGGCCTAACCAATGGTTGAGTAAGCTTGGCTGTCTCTACCTGCACACTTAAAAAAGATGGTTCTTCAAGGGTTCTTTAGTAAAGAAAACAAACACTTCAATCAAAGAACAGTTTGCATGATTAAAGTGTTCTTTGCATGGTGAAAGGTTCTTCAGATTGTAGAGTGCTGTGGATGGTTCTGTATATAACCTTTTTGAAAAGGGTTCTATATAGCACCAAAGAATGGTTCTTTTGTTATGATGTCAAGTCTGTAACAATAGAAGAACCTTCTTGGTGCTGTGTAGGTGCTATATCAAACCATATACAACAAATTCTCCATCAGTCTGAAGAACCATTTCACCATGCAAAGAATCATTCAATCATGCAAATGGTTTTGAGTGTTCATGGTTCTATATAGAACCATTTTCTTTACCCTTGAAAAACCATCTTTTTAAGAGTGTAGATATAAGAAAAAAAGTCCTGATTGGATAATTTTCCAAGATTTTAACGCTTTTGTTTCCAATCAACGCGTAACAATGAAATAACAGCATCACTACAATACTTGCAGAGTAAAAAAACAACAAGCATGACAATCATATTAAACAAAAATGAGCTAAAAATTGCAGACATCTCCGCTAGAAAAAAAAGTACAGCTAGTCACGAGTAACATCAGCATATTGTTGCTGTTGTACAAGAACATTGCATCTACATTTTTGTTGCATTTTACTTTTTTGTATAATTCTAAAATGCTAGTTGTCCTTTGTATTGTGTTAAAACGTCTTGATGAACAGACCAATAGAAATGCTCCAAAATTACTTCGATTTAATATCTTGTGGTTTGGTTGCTGATATGTTGGTCAGCAGCTGTGGATGCTGTTAGGCTGGTCACTACCAAAACCAGCATATAGTGTGTTTTGGATGCTGGTATGTTGGTCAATCAGCATGATCATGCTGAGTGACCAGCTGAACTAGCTTGTACCAGCATGGAATTCATACTGATCTTAGATGGTGTTTTCAGCAGGGGCGTATTTTTTTAGTTCCCAGAAATCATTAGGCATTCTCAAGCCACATTAGCCCCATATCTCCCATGCAAAACTACAGAAGCAAGCTTTGGATTGTTTTTATTTCTATTTTTATACACCAAACATGTAACTCTTGAGTTATGCAACCTTTCTGCACCTGGAAGTGTTATGCATGAATATATTGCTTTAAGTTTCAAATGTAGAGCAGTACTTCTCCACTATACACCTGTATGCTCTTACTGAATGCTACTTCTTTGCTTTACTGATTCATTAACCAAAATGATCTAACCAAGCGTGTCTGCATCCATAAGTCTAAGCCACACTGATTAATCTCACAGTGCTTATGCTACGCTCAGCAAATTAAGTACATAAAAAACCACCTACTCACATGCTTTATACACATTCCTTGAATATCACTACAAACGTTCAGAGAAAGAAGGTTCGAATGTATATCGCTGCTGTCGGGACAAAACCTTGTATCTCCAAAATGGTAACCTTACAGGGAAAGGAAATGTAAGTCAATGGAACCAGACTTTTTTCAGAGTAATTTTAGGCCATTTCATTTGGTCCAGTCATCATGAATTTCACCTATAATGTAAAGGACAACATGCATTTTCAAATTATGTCACAAACTAAAAAACAACAAAAATGGAGATACGAGGTTTTGTTCCAACAACAGCAATACGATAAGCATCATTATCAGTTTGATAAATTTGACATTGCATGGTGTATAAATGTCTCTTCATACTTTTCTGGAGCTGCTTTGTTTGTCTATTTATTCTGTTTATTCACCTAAATGAGACTAACCACTTGATCTAGTTGCAGAGTTGCGGGCCAAGGAGATCATTGAGAAGGAGGAAGAGGAGAAGAAACGGCAGGAGGAGGAGAAGGAAGAGGAGGAGGAGGAGGAAGAAGAGGAGGAAGAAGAGGCAACACCTGTGGTGGAGGAGGCTGAGGAGGAGGAAGTACAGGAGGATGAAGAAGAGGATGAAGAGGAAGAAGAAGAGGAGGAGGCAGCAGAAGAAGATGAAGAAGAAGAGGAGGAGGAGGCAGCAGAAGAAGATGAAGAAGAAGAGGAGGAGGCTGTAAAGGCTGAAACAAAAGAGGAGAAAAAGAAAGCCAAAGATAAAAAAGAGGAGGAGAAAGAGGAGGCGAAGGCAGACAAAGAGGAAGAAGAAGAAGAAGAAGAAGAAGGAGAAGAGGAGGAGGAGGCAGAAGCAGAACCAGAGGTAAAAGCTGAAGCAGAAGAAGAGGAGAAGGAGGAGGAGAAGGCTGATAAAACCGCAGACTTAGAAGAAGAGAAAGAAGAAGAGGGTGATGAAGCTGCTGATGAAACAACAAAACAAAAGGCAGCGGAACCTGCTGATGAAGGTGAAGATAAGGAGGCGGACAAAGAAGAGGAAGCTGTGGTCACTACTGCAGCAGCTGATATTACTGATAAGGATGTTACTGACGAAGACAAAGATGCTAAAGATGCTTCAGAAAAAGATGAAGAACCTGTTCCTGCTGCTGCTGATGGTGATAAAGCTGATGATGTGAGTGACACTGATGTCAGTCCTGAAGCTCCAGCAGAGGCTCCACCTGGTGAAGAGGTGAGACCCCCCCAAGAAGCTAAAGACGACAAAGATACTGATGAGAGTGATGATACAGAAGAAGCAATTACCGCTCCAGCAGAAGCTGATGAAAAAGATAAGGATGATAGTAAGGAGGGTGAAGATGAAGCCGCTGAGACTGCTGATGAAAAAGATGAGAAGGAGGACATCGATAAAGGTGAAGCTGCAGATGAGGAAGACAAAGCTAAGAAAGTAAGTGAACCTGCTGCAGCTGAAGTTGACAAAACAACAGACGATGACCAAAAAGACCAAGATGACCAAACTGAAGACAAGGAGGACAAAGAGGCTCTTAAAGAAGATGCTGACCTTGAGCAAGGAGCCAAAGAGGAACCAGTGATAGTTATCAGTGCTGCACTAGGTGAGGATTCAAAAGTCAAACATTTGGTCTCACCTTCTTTCAAAGTTCTAATTTTATTGCTGTTACTTTTCTCTGTTTTTACAGTATTTTTACCGTTTTCACGTTCAGTGAGCAGCAGTTATGCACCATGGAGATACGTACATAATAACATGACAACCACTGTTAGTATATAATAGTGTTCATATGAGTGTAGAAATGACCAATTTCTGCATGCATTATCCTTTTTGCAGTCTCAGGAAGAGTCAATCTTTCCATATGCTGGATCTCAAACTATTGTTGTTTTGTAGGAGGTTCTGCAGCGATCCGTTTTTCAGTTATAGATTTAACAAGTACAGTGCTGTAACAAAGCATTTGATTTACTCATTTTTGCATTTTTATCACAGTAAATGGTGGCAGATCCTCATTCAAAACGTAATGCAAGTCAAGGAGAACTTGAGGAAACACAAATCACAGTTTTTAACTGATTATTTTCTTTGTTGATTTAGTTTCTAAGTCAACCCAGAGCCTTAGAGATGGCCTTTTTAAGCCTTTCCAGAGTGCTTTATGTCAGTAACTTTATCTCTTCTGGAATTTCTTTTTCTTTTAACCTACTTGACATTGATGGAAAAGCTCTTTTTAGCCCATTAAATGGCCAGGGCCTGCCGACGGGCCCAAAGTTACATCATACACTTTTGTAACCTAAGAATAGTCCAGCCAGTGTGCATTGAAGTCCCTGTAGATACTGAATAATACGCCTTGGAATGTAATAAGCCTGGGATTTTAAGAAGTTAAATGATGTTTAGATTCAACATGCAATCATCTACTTTTACTGATCCCGATTATCAGGTACATTGGTTAAATGGTTGAGCACTTTTTCAAACAGGACCAGTCAGTGCTGGATATGTTTTTCCTTCAAAATATGATCATTTCAAAACTGAGCATCCTATTTCCTCATGTTTGTCCTTGTCTTATATTAAATATAGTTTGAAGATCTGAAATAATAAGGTGTGACAAATATGCGAAATAATAGTAATCAGGAGGGGGCCTATACTTTTTCATGACATGTATGTATGGAGATTGTCAGGGACGTTTCCAGGAGATCAAGGATCATTCAACATATAAACCTAGAATCTTTTTAATTGTAGTTTCTACTTCTTTCCAACGGGATTATACACTAGAAAATATGGCACACTTTCTCCAACATGGCTATAAGAATTTATCCAGAGAATTTACACTTAATGTTGACAGTTGTAAAGAAACAAACTGTAGTAGTCTAAGAGAATTCTCTCCAAGATATAAAACTGGTGGAACTACACTGCATATATAACATATTGCTACTATCCAAAAAAAAATATAGGTATCTCCATTTTTTTCATTGAACATAGCAACTGCCCTTTATATTGAAAATTTCGTCATGAATGGACTAATAGATATGCTCCCAAAATGCTCCAATCATATCTCTTTACATTGACTTCTATTCAAAGTTAAGAAGGTTTTTGCCTTACTATTTTGGAGATACATGATTTTTAGACAGCAACACTATATTGTCCCATTCCTCCTCCGTTATTTGGATATCCACCCTGGTCCTGGAGATCTACCACCCTGCAGAGTTTACTTTTACATTAACCCTAATCTAACACACCTGATCAGTGTAATGAAGGCCTTCAGGGACATTTAAATACTAAAGTGTGTTGGATCTGAACTCTACAGGGTGGTAGATCTCCAGGACCAGGATTAGGCAGCCCTGATTTATAAGTTTGGATATTGTTTGGCCTCAACTGCCCCATACATCAACAAAAGCTTTGATAACTCTTGACGCTGCAATCTTACTTGTTTAATCTGTTCATCTTCTTATTACAATAACTTTTTGTGAATATTTAAAATAAATAAATACATTAGCTGGAAATACCTAAAAAAGGTCTTTTTTTTCACTAATTACTATTTAATTAAAGAAAAAATGCCTGTAAAGGTTTAGTTAGCATAAAATAGCTATTGGTTAATCTTTTCAGTACATTTATCTTCAACAATCATCCTTATGTTCATTGAAATGTCCTTCTTAGTAAGAAGAACAGATTTGGCCTAAGTAATTATTTGAGTTTCTTTTCCCAACTGTTGTTAAAAGCACATATTGAAACTCTTTTGGCCCAAATCTTGTTTACACACTGATAAGTGCTGACATAACAACATGATAAAACAAGTGGACTTTGGCTTTACTCACAAGACAGCACTGTCATTAATATTGACACAATCTTTAATATGTTAAGTCATTGCAAACTGACAGAGTAGGTAATAATTTGAAACTTTTGACAGGCAGCGTCTTGTTAACAATGAAAAGCTAAGAAGAGTGGATGTAGAGGATCATAGAAATGCCAATGACTAAGCAGATCTGATGACAGCTCTTAGTTTAGTTTAGCTTGATGCTGGGTACAGTAGAAGTGGGATGTTAGGATGCCCCCACTGATGACACTTACAAATCAGACAATGAAATCAGTGACAGTTACTACAAAGAAATCACCTCTTCATACAACAGTGAATCTGATGATGAAGCCACATTGACAGGGAAGAGACAGATAATCATACTGCAAATGGCACTCTAGATGATTGTAATAACGACTGTGATGAAACTGAGAAACGGAAGCTGCAGAGAGTCTGACTGAGAAACCTAAATTAGCTGATGATATTTCAGATGAAAAGGAAGAATCAAATCAAATCAAATCAAATCTATTTTTATAAATTTCTATAAATTTATAGAGCATCTTTTTACAAGCAGTTGGAATTCAAAGTGCTTTCCAGACTGATACAGTTAAGACAACAACCCAGAAAAGAGAATAAAGAGAACAAGAACACAAAATATATGCAAAAATAGAGTTTAGAAATAAAATAAAATAAAAATAAATAAATAAATAAAATAATATAAAATAAAATAATGAGAACAAGAACATAACATATATGCCATAACAGATGTTAGAAATAAAAAAAAATAATAATAAATAAAATAAAATAAAATATTGATGGCTATGATGGCTCACATCTTGTTTATCAACAAAAAGCCTCATCAAAACTTTTACCAAAAAAGTGCAGACATCTTATTTAATCAATATCCTAATGACGATGAATATTAAAAGATTAATTTGAGTCTACTTGTTCTGACATGTCAGATTTATTTGATTGAGGAGACTCAGTGCCTCTGTTTATCATAACCTTTACCAGAGGCTTATAATAAAGCTGATAGAGGCATGTCCTTCACTATGTGACACTGAAAAATAAAAAACTCGCCTTTCAGAAGGAGACTGATTGCACTGTGGTGGGCCTGTGGATCCAGACAATACTGTATCACCTGGAATGGTGGGAATGGTGACCGATGTGAAATTACTTTTTACAATGCATTAAATTCAGCAAATAAAAAGTAATTGTGCACTAAAATGTGCAGAAATGTGTTCTCTGTAGAGAATGTAAAAATGTGAATGTGAAGGGTAACTGGAATTTTTCAATTATGCCAAAAAAGTACAAAAAAAACAAAAAAAACAACTTTAGGCCCCTTTGACATTATCATGCTAACTTTATTCACTTTAAATGAAAAGCAAACTTGCCTTATAGCTCAGTCTAAAAAAGTCCCTGACCCTCTCGTGGTAATTATTTCTGAGAAAATTGTTCCATCAAACAGATGAAAGATGAAAGCAGACTGAAGCAATATCAGCTTACTATAATAAATTATATGGTCCTGTAATTGTACATATAAGCCAGAAGGTAGAGTTATTGTCTATAATGTCACTCATTACTGTTACTGTTGTGTTGAAATATAGGCTGACACACAAAACCGTATATAAGATTTCATCTCTTTTGTTCTGTTGTTTCCATAAAAAGACTTATAGCACTTATTGTAATAGCCCCTTTTGGCAAGTGTCCCTATTCTCTTCTTGGATTTATAGACATGAAAGAACAAGTGAGGGAGGATAAGGTGATCAAGAAGGAGGCAGAAAAACCTGAAGCTGAAGAATCACCCAAACCAGTTCCTGAAGGTAAAACCTGTGGAAACAGTGGGGGGTGCTTTAGTGAGAGGACAGTATGAGATTCAGATCTAACGGTCTGATATCCTCAGACAGGATCAAGAACAAAGTCTCCACTGGTAGAACTATGAAGAGAGAGTTAACATAAAACTATATTTGTATTTATATAAATATAAAATTAAGTTTCCTTCCTAATTCTAAGGCATTGTAGGTGGGTAAATGTAGAGATGGTTATATGTAAATGTATTGTATGTGGGTATATGTAGAGGTGGGAATATGTAAAGGTATTGTAGGTGGGTTTATGTAGAAGTGGGAATATGTAAGGGTATTGGTTTCCATGAAAACAATGAATTCAACACAGGCTGTTGCTGGAGATTGGTTTGCATGAATGAATGGTATGTTTGAAAATTTAACCTACATACTACACCAAGGCATTTTATTAAAAAATATTTGCATAATATGGGCCTTTTAAAGTAATAAAATCATTGAGCATCATAAACAGAAAATCAGTGGAAAATTCATGATGCAGTGAATAAGTAGAGATTTCATGATGAGTGTCAGCATGTAGGAATTAACTGGCTGTGAGTAAATGCGCAGCGTTACTGAGTGTTTAGAATTAAGTGAAAAATTATACGAGTAATGACCCAGCAGGCTGCTGTCTAGAGTGAGAGGAGTGAATTGAAGTCAGAGCTCAGCAGAAGCATCACTGTGTGTCTGTGTATGTGTGTGTGGTGGGGGAAGACAGCCGGGGGACTGACCCTTTGATCTCCCCCCATTTCTGCATTACTTATTTCCCCATTTCCTCTGCAGAATGCTGATGTGGCTATATGTGTGATTTGGCTGTATTCCATATTGGACTACAGTAAGGAAAAATAGAGCAGGATGAAAATTACAGTCAAAAGTAAGACACATATAAATATAGCGGCATGCAAAAATTTGGGCAAAATCTCTGGTCAACCTCTGGTCAGAATTTCTATTAAAGTAAGTAGAAGATTACCTGATCTTCAGAATAGTGTATTATTTTTGTTTTGTACAATTTTAGAGTGAAAAAAGAAAGGAGCACCATGTAAAAGTTTGGGCACCCCAAGAGATTTGAGCTCTCAGATAATTTCACCAAAGTCTCAGACCTTAATTAGCTTGTTAGGGCTTTGGCTTGTTCACGATCATCATTAGGAAAGGCCAGATGATGCAAATTTCAAAGCTTTATAAATACTCTGACTCCTCAAACCTTGTCCCAGCAATCAGCAGCTGAAGACTCCTCTGAACAGCTGCCCAGCACTCTGAAAATTAAAATAATTTATGCCCACAAAGCAGGAGAAGACTAGAAGAAGATAGCAAAGCGTTTTCAGATAGCCGCTTCCTCAGTTCGTAGCATAATTAAGGAATGGCAGTTAACAGGAACAGTGGAGGTCAAGTGAGGTCTGGAAGAGAAAGGAAAACTTTGAGAGAACTGCTTGTAGGATTGCTAGAAAGGCAAATCAAAACCACTGCAAAAGACCTTCAGGAAGATTTAGCAGACTTTGGAGTGATGATGCACTGTTCTACTGTGCAGCAACACCTGCACAAATATGACTTTCATGGAAGAGTCATCAGAAGAAAACTTCTTCTGCATCCTCACCACAAAAGTCAGCATCAGAAGTTTCCAAAAGAACATCTAAACAAGACTGATGCACTTTCGAAACAAGTCCTGTGGACTGATGAAGTTAAATTAGAATGTTTTGGCTGCAATAAGCGAAGGTATGTTTGGGGGGGAAATGGATGCAGGATTTCTTAAAAAGAACACCTGTCTAACTGTTAAGGATGGTGGTAGATCGATCATGTTTTTGGCCAGTGGCACGAGGAACATATTACTTGTAGAGAGAAGAATAGATTCAATTTAATACCAGAACATTCTGGAAACAAACATCACACCATCTGTGAATAAAAAGCTAAAAATGAAAAGAGGTTGACTTCTACAACAGGATAATGATCCTAAACACACCTCAAAATCCACAAAGGACTACTTCAAGAGGCACAAGCTGAAGGTTTTTCAATGGCTCTCATAGTCCCCCCATCCTAAACATCATCGAAAAGCTGAGCAGATAGACAGACCTCAAAAGAGCAGGATGGTCCAAGAATCCCTCAGAACTAGAAGCCTTTTGCAAGACAGAATGGAAAATCTCCCAAACAAGAATTGAAAGACTTTTAGTTGGCTTACAAGCTGTGACACTTGCCAGAGGGGATGTTACTAAGCACTGACCATGTAGGGTGCCCAAACTTTAGCTTCAGACCCTTTTTCTTTTGTTTTGCTTAAAATATTAAAGAAATGTTGTAGTTTTAACTTTTTGAAAACCAGGTCATTTTTGCTCACTTAGCTATTCTCAGTAACAGAAATTCTGACCATCTTGCCCAAACTTTTGCATGCCACTCATTGTACAGGGCCTAACAATTTCACCCTGAACTTCAACCCTTTTAACCTTTACTGTATAAAAATCATTGAGTGATCAACAAGATCTCAGCACTACTGAAAGGAAAAATGAAATAAATAATCTTAAATAAACAATTAAATAAATAAATTCCATCCCAGGCAGTACATTTTTTATATTTTTTGTGAAATGCATGTTTCTAAAGATACAGACAGATAATAGATTTATCAGGTCTTACTATAAGATGAACATAATAGCACAACTGGAGAATATTGCATTGCTGTATTAGTTTTGTGAACGTCTTACTTTAGAAGTGTTCATTTTAAAGCAAAAAGTCTGGAAAACATGTTTTTACATTTTTCCTATGAATGTAAACAAATCTCGATTATTATGTGCTTAAACATTGCTAATTTGATTTCTAAGATCAGAGGCAGTGCTCTACAAGGGAAAACATCACTTCTCTGAAGTTCAGTGTCGAATTCAGGCTTGATCTTAACCCACTGAGGCTTGAAGAACAGAGCCTGTGGGCTTGCTGGAAAGGAGCAGCTTCCTATCCCCTTATCTCGCTTTATTATGAGTCTCCTGGTGTTATCCTGCAAGCAGTACATCTCTCATACAGCACATCTCAATATGTTGTGTGGAGCAGCACCATCTCACTTACCGTGAGAGAAATTAATAGGAAGGCTTTTTCACAAAACACTTCTAAATGTTGTTTCCACAGCAGTATTTTCAGTTTGCATGAGAAAATTTCTTACATATTTAGCTGCAAACGTTGTAAATAGACATTTCTGAAGAAATGACCTCTCCCTGACTTGTTCATTTATTATGCTGAAAAAAAATGAAAGAAAAAAAAAATCTTCATCTGTGAGAGGATAGATCACATATTATATTTTTATTCAGTTATAGACATTAGGATGGCCAGTGGAAGACCATTGTGAGATCATATATGGGTCAACCTACCACTGTGGTGGAAAATGGGGTATGTGTGTTGTACGTTAATACATTATTCAAATATAAAATGTAGCTGTTATACTGGACAACATCAATAAACTATTGTACACCATTGAATATTTACTAAAATCTTGGCTTTTCTGAAATATAGTCCACTGTCACTTTAGTGTCAAATCACATTGTATGTAGACAGTTACAAATATTGTGTTCAGGTTTTTATTTTAATTGAATTTTAAAAAGTAACAGCAAAATGAATTTTTATATCTAAAACTATTTTTACATAGAACATAATCATTTTCATTCATTTTTACAATATAGTAGTAGTAGTTTGCACTCTGCTAATTGGTGGGGCATAAACGTCTATTACTTGTTGGCTACATTGGCTGTGGAGCTGCAGCACAAAACTAATAAAGCCAGCTTCAGACACCAAACATGTCCTGACTGATTGACCACACGTGAGGTTTGGCCTGGGTGATGTCAAAAAATAATTTTCTTGTTAAAAACAATTAGGATCAATTATATCCCATCCACCCCACGCCTGTAAACATACAAAATCCACCGCAGCTTACATGTTTCTTTTCTCTGTAGTAAACTATTTCACCTCTCATTTAAAAGATGTCACTCTATCCTGTTGGTATGGTTTTATGGCTGTTTTGTCTCTTTAAATGACAAGAACAAAAGTGATGTGTGCCAAAACATAAGTAGTGAGTTTCAAAGCCTAATCCACATGTTTTACACGTTAAAACAAACAAACAAACAAAAATATTAATGTTTTCCATCATAAAAGCAGAAGGGCCCTGGAAGTCAATCCTTAATGCCTGTGGGAAACCACAAAGTACTAAATTCTGGTAATTGTACAACTCGTCTGAGCCATCGGGACATTTTGGGCTATGTAGAAAATGCTGAGAATTTTCCTCAGATAGTATTCCGTACTCTGGGAAATGCCCAGGAGAGAGAATGGAAAATGCACTCTCTGTAGCTCCTTAATAATCCATCACTGATATCAGATTACACTGCCCTGCTGACCAGACCTATTTGGGATAAGGGGAAATTGTGTAAATGTGCTTTTTTTTTTTTAATAGTCCACTCTGCCTGGACTTACCAATGGTAATAGATTGGTCTGTGTCTATGCTCTACAAAAGGTTATTTTATCTCAAAGTGCTGTAAGCCAACTTCCCCTCAATCTCCAGCGATTACCTCTTAGATACACCCTTTATCAAGCGGTTTCACTGTTAGGTGAATTTTTGCTCTGGTTTTTATAAACTGCACTTTTGTATTTTTGTGCACCCCAGAAAATTACAGCTACAACGGAGCCTGCTACCATTTACCGTCTGGAACAGGCTTGAAAAATAGCGATTCAAGGTCTACTTATGGGCAGAGAGCTCAGCCACTCTGTCATTCCTCTATCAAGAGCATCTTTAGATGTGTTTCACACAGCAGCAGAAATTCCTGCTGAGAAAAAGGCCTGCTGGGCAAGGAAGAATGAAATGAGGGACTTTTTACAGAGCTGTTTTGACCTGTGGGCTTGAACAGAGTCTGCAGAAAATGTTGTGAACATGGGCATTTTTTTTCTTTTTGGCATTTTTCAAAAGATACAAAACTTATCATACAATCTCGAACATCAGAGGAGCCAAAACCAAAGGCAATCAAAGAGGATGAAGAGAAAGAAGAGGAATCAGAGGTCCTTCTGAAACAAGAAGAAACTAAAAAAGAAGGTAGGAAGCAGTTTTTATACAACACATTTCTATAAGCAAAATGGATGGTGTTATCTACCAGAGCTGAACTGGAAACTAAATTCAGCACTGGACTTTTGTCTATACCAGCCACTATAACCACAGTGATCTCCCCCACCCTCACCCCCAAGTGACTAAGACTGCTATCATAGTATTAGTGAGTGTCTGCATATTTTTGAACTACATTATCCTGAACACATCAAAGATGCTGTAGCTTGGCAGTTTCATACCTTTTTAGTGAGAGTGTACTGACTGAGTTTAGTACCCTTGATTTGAGAAGAAACACTGGATGAGCAGATGTCTACAAACCTTTGGACAGTGCACATAAGCATTCACATCAGTGTACTTTAGGTCCAGTGCTACTGTACGTTATTTAGAGCAGGACTGTTCAAGGCCCATACTGAATTAATTCAGCAGACATTGATTCTCTTCTATAATAAGGCTAAAAGCACTGCTGACTTGGGATTTGGCTTCAAACAGCCATAATTTTTGCAATCATGTACATTGCTGATCTGTTTAAATTACAGAGTTGGCTGATTAGAATTTAAACCATGATCTAATTTAAACTCTGATATGGACAGATAAAAAGAGCCATTAGGAATACAGTGGGCGAATCTGTGGACCATAATGTAGACATCACAAAGGCCAGTCTCTGTGGGAAAACAGCATTGTAAAAGCTCAATGCGGCACTGATTGCATAGTTATAATTACAAAGCAAATAGTCTCTACGCCTTATCTCACTGCCTTTCAACATTTTAACCACAGTTACAATTTAAACTTTGCTTTTAAATTAAGTGCAGCCCAGTATAACCAACTTGCATGTTTTGAATTATGTTTTTCAAGTTCCTGCTGATTTTAATCAAGATAAGGCAACTGCTGTTTTTTAAAAAATCAGATAATACAAAGTATTTCACCAAAGGTCAGAGAGAAATGGAGGAGAAAGAGTGAGCATGCTGGTTTAATAACAGAAATCCTGCACTCAGCTGCAGGGCTTAGCGATATCGACAGCATTTGCATTTTAGGCACAAAGCATTCACATGCAATCTCTCTGCAAATCTCTGAAAGCATACAAGCAACAGCTTCAAATCTGATCTCCGTACTAAGATACAGGCATATGCATTGCTCTTTAATATTTCTAAAATTTGGAGACACGCTCATCAAACAGCACCATTCATCTCCTGCTTTATCTGTTTGGCTGTCATAAAGCCTTCTTATTGTAATGATCCAATTTTCTGATGGGGAGGCATTCAGTCCAAAAGTGTCACATTAATTCAGACAAATTTAAGCAATCCAAACCTCTAATAAAGCTGTCATATTTGCACCGTGACTTACATCCACTTTTTGAAATTAATTTCAGTCGTGTGATTTATGAATGCAGAAAACCTGCCCGGGCTTTTTATGACACATGAATATTATTAGATTTACAGATTATGATAGTGGGGCCTTCAGTTTCATAAAAGTGAACAGGATTTGGTGACTGGCAGCAAATGTGAATGAGATGTGAATATAAACTTAATTTGAACGTCTGATCCAATTGTAGAGGAAACCTGTTTCCATAACATCCTCTTAAAATCCAAATCTAATGACTAAGATGGAATCCCATCTACTTTTAACCCTTAGCTTATTTTTTCAAACTGACAATTCTACTTTTATTGAGAAACTCAAGCAGAAGTATACAGTACTGTGGTAGAGACCACCCGACATTTTCTGAATTTCCAGAGAAAATAGCCATTAGGTACAAGTTATTGTACATTGCTGTGTCTGATCCACTCAGACCAGCACAACACACACTAACACACCACCACCACATCAGTGTTACTGCAGTGCTGAGAATGATCCACCACCCAAATAGTACCTGCTCTGTGAGGGTCCATGGGGGTCCTGACCACTGAAGAACAGGGTAAAAGGGGGCTAACAAAGTATGCAGAGAAACAGATGGACTACAGTCTGTAATTGTAGAACTACAAAGTGCACCTATATAGTAAGTGGAGCTGATAAAATGGACAATGAGTGTAGAAACAAGGAGATGGTCATAATGTTATGCCTGATCAGTGTGTATATATTTACTGAGTATGTATAAGTATATGCAAGTACATAGACTTAAAACTGATGTTTTTTAAAGATTCTTTAGTAAAGAAAATGGTTCAACCAGGAACCAGGAACACCCTTTGCATAATTAAAGAGTTCTTTGCAACAAAAGTGTTTTTCATATATATATATATATATATATAATATATATATATATATATATATATATATATATATATATATGAAAAACATTTTTCTGATGCAAAGAACATATATATAAATAAAATGGCAACTTTATAGATATATATTGTTAACTGTGAATGGAAGCTAATGTAAAGATTTTTCCAACTAATATTCAAGGATTTGTCATTATTTTTTTTACTCAATGTAAAGGACAGATGTAGTTTTCAAATTCAAATTCAAGAAAATAATAAAATGCAACAAAATTGGACATACATGCTGTCCAATGCATAAAATCAATCAATCTGCTGCAACATGTAGATGGTAGCCTAATCTGCCTTGTGTCAACAATTTAAGCTAGTGGTGAAGCTAAAGTAGTGTTGGAGTTGGAGGTTATTTGACACATACTGGGCCCGCTTATACCAGTTGTGAATCATTTAAATGCCACTGCCAATGAGAGTATTGTTGCTGACCAAGTGCATCCCTTTAACATGTGTCAGGCTCCAGTCCTCATGGGCCACACCACTGCAGACTTCAGCACATGGCTTCATTAAACACACCTGATTCAGCTCATCAGCTGATTGGCAAGGCCTTCATGAACTGAATTAAGAGTGTTAAATGAGGGTAAACGCTCATCTCTGCAACCTTTTGGCCTGGAAGGTCTCCAGTTTGACATGCCTGCTTTATGACCACAGTTTATACATCTTATAATGGCTACGTAATGCATGACAATGCACCTTGTCACAAAGCACAAATCTTCTGAAACTGGTTTCACGAACAGTATAATGGGTTCAGTGTACTTTAATGGCCTGGCCAGTCACCAGATGTGATAAAATGGGAGATTTGGAGCACGAATGTGCAGCTGGTACAACAGACATGTGCAATCATGCCAACACGGACCAGAATCTCTAAGGAATGTTTCCAGCACCTGGTTAAATCAATGACACAAACAATCCAGGTTGCTTTTAGGACAAAGCGGGGGGCCTGACCAGTATTAGAATGGCATTTTGAAAAAAGCAGATGGTGTATACAGTGAATGGTTCCAACTCCTCTGTGATTGTCGCCTCAGCTCTTGTACAGTGCTTGGACTCATTTAACAGTGGAGGCTCTTGAGGGAAACTGGTGCTCTACATTACTCTTGCTTTTGTTAGTTTGCTGCTCGTTGACTTATCCATAGGAATCCCGCGAGCACTATCCAGCATAGACTGCTGAAGGTAATGAAGGCATTTAAAAGCTTGTTATTGAATGAAAGGGCCACAGATTCTATTCTAGCAACATATAGTATGCTGCAGCTGGGCGTAAGCCTAAAATGACTCCAAATGGTTCCAGGAATATATATAATACAGGAGCACAGTGCTATGTGATTAACATGTTTGCATTTCTTTACATTAAGATGAAGAAAAAGAATCTTCTACCTGTGTGTGCGCTCTGCCACAGCAACCTGTAGAGCCTCCAGTACAAGACACAAAGCCAAAGGACGAAAAAGGTACTGATATTAACTTACAAGGTCAGTATGATTCATGCTACTCCTTCAGTGACTGAGCTGAAGTAGATGTTTCACCTCCTGTTTAGAGTGACAGATCTAGCGCAGGATGACGGTGATGGTGGAACATTAATCTGGCAGCTGGAAAATAAATTTGTGTTCAGTAACATTGGAGTTTATTGCTCGTCTCGGACTTAGGACCAGTTTTCTGAATACAGATTAAAGCGAGTCTCAGATACGTTGTGAGTGGAATTTTCCATTCAAAGGCCTTTTATGTGGAGGAACAGGCTTAATCTAGCCTGCAGAAAATAAGCCTTATAACAGGCTCAATCTCAATCCGCAGCAGTAGGCCTCATAAGCATTTTGACTTATTGTTAGCCCTGGCTTTGGGGATGGATGATTTATGGCTTCAAAATTGTGTCAAAACATGGTCTGGAATTTAGACGGCTTTGATACGTCACAATACAAGACACTGAACAATAAACAAACACATAAACAAGCAGACAGATAACACTAATGTTTGCGTACTTTAGGCAATAATTGTGTTGACATATTTTATTACAGTGAAAATGATGTACACATTTGAATGAAGACAATTTAATGCATCACTTTTCTCAGTAGTGCAAAAGAGAACACAAGTTAATTCCACTGGATGAATATCATTACGAGCATCATTAATTGCGCTCTTCTCTCACCAGCTAATAACCTCCCAGGCTAACTGAACATGTGAGCCAGTATGATGCAATGCAACCTCAAGACAAGAACAGACACTGTTCTCCTCTATTGTTCTATCAGGATATTCTAACTTCACACTGCAAAAATGTACATCATATATATCCACATTATATGGGAATTACTCACATGTCTACAATGAGTTCCAAAATTCTGAGACCACTAGTGAAAATGCCTCTATTTTGCTTTCTTCTAATTTAACACAATGTTTTTCATTACATATTATAGCATCAGCATGACTAAGTGAAGAGCAGACTTTTCACATAAATTTTCACATAAATTACAGAATTTCATAGGTTTGGTCCTCTTTTGCTTTAATGACAGCATGCACTCGAGCTGGCACGGACTCTGATCACTAACAGAGACAAAAGCCTCTGCTGAGTAGATCAAATCCACCTGAGAGTCATCTGAACACGAGCTCAATGGAAGAGACGACTGAAAACAATCCGACCTTTTTGCTAAAATTCTAAATGTGTCCTAGAAATTGTGCAGAATCTTCAATACTCCATTCTTGTTTTAAAATGTCCAGTTTTTGTTGTTTGTTTGCAGGATAAAATTAGAGCATTCTTAGATTTCCAAAGTGGTCTCAGACTTTTGGACCCCACTGCCTTTGAGCAGGATATTCACAATTCAAATAAAGGCAAACACTTTATTCTGTCTCACGCTGGGGGCCGTAACTTTGTTTTGAAAAGCACTGGAAACAGGAAGGGCTTGTAGTGTAACTAGCTAGCTAACTCTTATAATCAACATATGAAGTTTAATTAATCATGGTGTCTACAAATATAACAAGAACTTAAACAAGAATTTCAAGAATGTCACATTGAGAAAATGTAATTATTTGACAAACTGTCAAATTAAGGAACAATTTAGAACGAAAAGTCAGTTTTATTGTTGCCCATGGAGAAAGTAGCAAAGAAGAGAACAGAAACAAAAGAAAAGCAAAAAGAGGAAAGTACTAAAGAAACGAAAAGAGCCACCAAAAGCAAAGAACAGAGAACAAAACATAGGAAAAACCACTCAAACTGGGACTCAAACCACACCACTACCAACACCAAGCCAGGAATAGAACAAGCCAAGGGGAATAAATAGACAAAGGACACATGAGAAACACCTGGGGCTAATGAGAGGGTGGGGCTACAGAATACACACAGGTGGAACAGATGACTGGGGAGGGGGGAGACCAAAACAACAAAAGCACATGGCCTACATAAACAAAAGCACATGGAACAAGAAACACAAGGAAAGATAAACAAAGGCAGACAGACAGAAATAAGGAAAGACAACGCAGTGTAAGACAGGATGTTACAAAAAGAAGTCTTTCTTTTGAGATATTAAATCAAATTCCTAGAAAATACCTCAGTATTTTGACTTACTAAATTAAAATTTAGAGGAAATAAGTCTTTCTTTTGAGATACTAAATCAAATTTCAAGAAAATGTCATTATTTTGACATAAATCAAAAGACTGAGAAAATAATGTATTATTTTAACAAACTAAATCGAAATTTTGAAAAAGTAAGCAAATATTTTGACATAAAACTAAAACCTCAAGAAAATAAGTAGATATTTAGACATATTAAATCAGAATTTTGAGACAATAAGCACTTATTTTAACAAACTAGATCAAAGTTTTGAGTAAATAGTTCTTTTGACATACTAAATCAAAATTGAGAAAAGTCATTATTTTGACGCATTACAAATTTTGAGTCCCTTTTTTTACAAACAGTATATTTCTACTCAAAATTTTTATTTAATCACATACTAACTAAAATGTTTGATTTGAGAAACAAATACTAAATCAAAATTTTGAGAAAATACGTTATTTTGACACAATCAAAATTATGAGAAAAAGGCTATTATTTTGACATACTAAATAAAAAATTTAAGAAAATAAGTCATTATTTTGACATACTATATCAAAAAGTTTCGCTGCCAGAAACAAAGAAGGAGGGAAAAAGGCAGCAGTCCTCCACCTGACATGAATTGGCTTTTTTTAGTTTTCATCCTGAGCTGGAATATAAAAGACGCTCAAAAGACTACACTTTTATGAAGTAGTGGGCATTTCTGGGACATGTCACTAGAATCCCACCATAAAGTACAACTGCTCATGTCAAGTAACAGTAGGATTGATACATACCAGAGTTCCCCAAGTTGATTTAATAATTAGATGAAATTAGAAAAATCAGGTCTTTAATTTCACAGTTGGTCAGCATCTGCCTGTTGACTTGGTTTAATCATGCTTGATTTGAAATATATATAAAGAAATTCTCCATAGTCAGCTGTGAAAATGAGCAGTATGTCCAAGCGTGACAGCATGGTCATGGTCAACTGTATTTCCTGGGCCTGCTTATATTGGTACGAGTTTCTAGGCTGCTGTAGCACACAATACATAATAATGAGGCTAAAGACCAAATTCAATCCCAGCCTGTTGTGTTCTGATATCTCCCTGTGGAAAGCACTTTTCTCCTTTCAATGGGCAAACGGTGCACTCAGTGTTGCCATCTGGTGGAACCTTAAGTGACTACAAGTCATAAATTATGCTTCTCCTATTGATATTGCCCACGATCAAATCTGAGCTTGTATAGGGAGGAAGTACATGATATTTAACGATGTGTTTTTCACAGCCATCCTGAAAGGTTTAAAACAGAGTATTACTGATTTCTCATTAACCTTTTCTTGTTCCATGCGATGCAGAAGGCCTGGACCTTATTTAGCTCTGCATCTGTTGGATGATTCACATACGGCTAGACGTAGAGTCACATGGGAGTTTCTGAGGACATTATTAATTAAGAATTCTCCATAACCTCAAACCTTTGCTTTTACATTCCCTGCTGTGTAGCACACAATAGTGCCCCCTGCTGGATCTACATCAGACTGCACAGACCACCATCCCCTGCTTTCAGTGCTAATTTTGAGAGCTGTCTCATATTTATTATAACATATAACTGATCCCAAGCATTCAGGATATAAATAAAGCAACTCACATTATTCCTGTCAAAGATAAGCATGTAGAATTATGTTTTTTAAAAATGAAAATTTCACTAAATTTAGTAAAGGCAGAGATGCACAGTATATATTTATATATACAAATATATAAAGAGCAGCATATAGCTCTTCAAGAAACAGATAGAAAATATTCCAGAACAAATTCATACTGGTTAAATGAACATTTGCAAACCAAATATAATAATAATAATAATAATAATAATAATAATAATAATAATAATAATAATAATAATAATAAATGAGTGACTGAGTAAGTGAGTGAGTAAGTAAGTGAATGACTCTAAATGATCTCTGTTCTAATTGGCTATTGTGCCTTATTCAAAAGTACTCAGAGCTGAAACGCTACCTAGAACACTGTAAATGGGCAGGGCTAAATGGACGGATATATAAAAAGGAGTTGGTTCTTCTGACATCACAAAAACAGTGAATTCAAACCAGGCTGTTATTGCAGCTTAGTTTCCATAAATGGACCGTATGGACTGGTGAATGGTATGTTCTAAAACTTAGACATTTGATGTTTATATATCACTCCAAGCTACTTGATTTTAAAAAAGAAATGAGGGAAATTTGTTTTTCCATGATATTGGCCCTTTATAGTCTTTGTTTTCATTTTCAGAGGAAGAGGTGAAGAAAGCAGAGCCACAGGAAAAGGAGGAGGAAGGTGATGCATCCACACAGCACTGCACTCTCTCCGCTTTAGCTCAGAGCCAAAACAAATGGCACTACATCTCATTTAGCTACTTGATTTACCTTATTAGTGAAACTACTGTTCTGAAACATGAACATGGTCTCTGTAAAGCTAGCTTCTTACAAACACATCCCAATCAGAAGTCCAAGATGAGTTCAAACTCTTGCAGTTTTAATTCAGTAATTACAGTCAAACATCGTTTTAACATCATGATAATTCTGGCTCTGTATTCCAGCAGTGAAGCAAAAGGTGGTGGATTCTGAGCTGCCTAAACAAAAAGGTAAAAACAGCAGGCTTTCCTCGTCACTCTGTTTATTACATAAAAACATCAGCAGCAGACATAAAGTTGCTCCACTCAAACTCTTACCCAGTTAACCCTGTATCAACCACACAGTCTTAAAAATAAAGGTGCCAAATGGGTTTAGAGGAGCGATGCCAGAGAACCACTTTGGGATCCTTAAAGAACCTTTCAGTGGATGAACCACTGCTAATGAGAGAGCACTGTAGTGAATGAAAACCTAATAATCATTTAACCATAATGTAAAAGTTCCATAAACTCTTAACATCTTAAAATCCATAAACAATCTTTTTACACTACCATTCAAAAGTTTAGAATCACTGTTTAGAATAATACCAACACAATTTTGTTGCAGATACATTTATGAAAAGATACAAATATAATGCTAATATTCAAACAGGAAATTTCGATGATGAGCAGTGCTGTGGATGATTCCATGAAACTGAGATAGCTGTAGAACTTTGAGAATTAACCTTTAATAAAAATAGTATCCAGAATCACTCATATTCCAAAAGCAGTGACCAAATCTTGCTGGTCAAACAGCTATTCATAGTTATTTAATGTCAAGAAATTACTATAAATAGATCATTGTAGTTTCTTATTTAATTGAAATTGTGAATAAACCATCGGTGTATGTTTTTATTTCGGTACACTTACTTTTACAGTCCCCTAAGTTCTAGACATTAACCAGGTACATATGAAGTACAAACTCAAATGTATATACTCAAAAAAGTTATTTCTTTAAAGGTTCTTTAGTAAAGGTAGTGTTTCTATATAGAACCATGAGTTCTGTTTAGAAACATTTTCATGCTTAAAGGATTCTTTGTATCATGAAATCGTTCTCCAGATTGATGGAAAATGTTTTGTGTATGGTTCCATATAGAAACCTTTTGAAAATGGTTCTATATAGAACTAAAAAGAGCTCTGCTATTGTTATGATGTTAAGCATGCAACCACGAAAGAACCCTTTTTGGTGCTATATAGAACCATTTTCAAAAAAGTTCTACATAGGACCGTATACAACACATTCTCCATAATCAGATGAGCCGTTTTACCATGCAAAGAACCATTTAAGCATGAAATGGTTCTGTATAGAACCATTCCCTTTGCTAAAGAACCCTTGGAGAACCATCTTTTTAAAGAGTGTACCAGATAATTATTTTGGGCAAGTTCCAAGAAAGTCTAAATAAATTGCAATGAGATGCCAAGCAGGTTCTAAATATTATCTAAGTGTAAAGATGAACTCCAAAGTGCTGTGTAATTATTTTAGGTAAATATTGAGAAAATTACACTGGAATAAGTAACAGGTTCTAGATATTAAGCTTATAAAGGACACAGCAATATTTAAATGGAGTAACAAGGTGAAAAATGCACGCATATTTGCACTAAATCTCACTGTAATGTAGAACATTAAATCAGCAAAGTAAATCAGAAACTTCTCCAAGTGTAATTTATTTAGACTGTCTTGGAACTTACAGTCTTTATACCCAAAATTATTAGTACCATATAGTTTGTTCCTCCCACTTGCCTGATTGATACCTAGAACTGTACACTGTTAGTTTACACTGTATAAATTTGTATTGAATAACAATTATTAATATGACAGGTGATTCTAAACGTTTAAATGGTATTGTAAGTGTTGGATCTTGGGAAAACCTTTACACTGATGAGGATTCTTTAAAGTATGTAAAGGCTATGTAAACATCTTTTAGTGTACAATTCTTTACATTGCTCATCGTATCCACTGTAACATTCATTGGGGAATTAACAGTAGTGGTTCTGTGGTTCTGTCATGGCATCACTCCACAGAACATTTTTGGCACCTTTATATTTAGCAGTGCAGTTGTGTATGTATATATATATATATATATATATATATATAGTATATATATATATATATATATATATATATATATATATATATCTGTTAATAATAATAATAATAATAATAATAATAATAATGAGTACAGCAGAAAAAAGAGCGGAGAGTAAGGCAAACTCTTTAAAGTGAACTAGACCACAGGTTCTTCACCTCACAAATCTGACCACACAGTGTTCCATGGCCTCCAAGAACATTTAACTGGCCCAGTCATTTAAAATACTAACAAATATAACACAACGTGTCAAACATTGTAGTCTATTGAATGAAAAAAAATTCTGTTTGTAGCTATTTATCCATGATGGATGGATTCCATGCGATCAAAAAGACAAACGTTTTACATTGACTTGCCCTGAAAATACAAACATAACTAGCTAGCTGTGTCAGTCACTGTGGTTTTGCATGTTGCCCGACCAATCAACGACCTCGAGCTAAATATAATCTTATATTTTTGCAATTAATTATCACAACAATATTATCTGCCATATTTAAAAATATTTGGTTAAATGTCTATATATTGTAACAAAATTTTGCAATTTAAATAAAACTGACAGCCAAGGTGCCCCACCAGTACCGCCAGGGCCCACTGGGGGGCTGCAGCCTGCAGGTTGGAAACCACTGATCTAGGCTGGTGTACCACTGCTGTACTTTTTAATGTAAGATATGCAAATGTGTTACTTTGGTGGAGCTTTTATTTAAAATGCTTTTCTTTCTTTTTTTTAATTAAAAATCTTCCTTGTAAAATGACTGAAGATCCAGAAGAAGTTGATGTTGTGGCACCACTACAGGACTGTAAGTGTGCATCATGGTTAGGAGACAGTTTAAAGGAATGCTGCAGCAACCGAACATCTATCTGCTGCAACTGTAGCATATCATCACTGTCAAAACAAAAGCTCACATCTCCATTTTTGTTGTGTTTCATGTTTGTACATAATTTAAAAGTGTCAGCTGTGCTTTACACTGTGTGTATGTTTCAGGAGGTATAGACCAATGGAAACTGTCCAAAATGACTTTTTACATTAACTGACACTAAAAGAAAAGAATGTTTTTGGCTTGTTTCAGAGATACAAGATTTTATTCAGCGTCAATGTGATCAATTAGCACTGACAGTAACGTCAATACAGTTCCCTGTGCTTAGTAAAATAACAGATAACCTTTGTTTGAAAGACACATTATAGAATCTAATAGGAAGCTGTTTCAGCAACTGCTCATTTTTTTCTATAACAAGCGTGTTTCAAGTTTCTGTTCTTTCACTGAGTACAGAGAAAAGTTGTAAAGTTCCTCTCCCTAATAATTGGTCATATGCCACAGATGCAGCAGATAGAAATTAAGCTGAAAATGCTGAAATATTCCTTTAATGCAGTAGAATACTTTTTCAGTAGTGTGCCACGGTCAAATTACATGTTTTGTTGGTTTTCTGACAATAAGTTAATGCATCCTCCACAGAGAGCGCATTTTACTGTGAATTTTAGTCCACTGCATTTTCTGTTTTTTATTTTACGCTGTAAAAGTTTAAGTTCAACTGAAAAAATTACGAGCAGCTGAACTAGTTTTATTCGACTAAAAGTACTTTGATTGAAACAATGATTCATTCACAGTATTAGTTTAGTTTGAATGAAACTATTTAATTTACTTGTTACCACATGAAGTTTTTTTTCAGTTGAATTGACAAACAATTTTTGATGGTGTAGTTTAGTTCAACATATTGGAAAAAATAAAACATGCAATAACGTTTGCACAGGCATCATTTTATATTTTATTCATTTTTTCCAATGTCTTCATTTCAGTAAATGAACAGTAATTATGCATTAAAATCTGTGCTTTGTAGAGGGCGTATTAACTTATTTTCACTTAGAAAATGAACACGTCATTTGACCAGGGGCACCCAAACTTATGCATATGACTATATATCTTTAAATTTGTTGACATTACACAAAGATTAAATGCTAGCTGCTAATTTGTCCTACAAAATCCACCCTAGTGCCCGCATGCCGTCCTACACCAGTGTACTGCCCGGCGCCCCCTGGCTGGTACGGTGAGTAAATCACCCGGTCACACTGTGGCCAACAGGAGTTCAATATTCTTGCTTTTGATTTGATTGAAACATGTAACCACAATGGCCATTTACCTTCCAGTGCATCACATAGTCACAGATAATCCACTGCCACCGACGACTCTGCGAGGTATTAAAAGCCATTTCACTTCAGTCTCGAGTAAAGTGGGTCATTAATTGTCAGAATTGACAATGCTGGTGCACATGGCCTGAAGTGTCTGAGAGAGCTAAAAAGCCCAAGGATTTAATTAATCCCAGTGCTTTCAGTGTGCTGTATTACATCAGAACATGCTGGCTGAAGCATTTGTGTGTGTTTGGTGTGCTTTTCCTGCAAGGTAATTCGTTTTGTTTCTTCTTTTTTTTCCCCTTTTTTTTCTTCTCTTTTAACCTTCTGGGAATAAATTATGGCTGCAGGGTGGTAACATTTTACTCCCTTTACTACATTAAGCCCTTCAGTCTGTGGCGAATGAGATAGCAGTGACTCTGAATGTCTAAAATAGGTTTTAAAGGGTCTGTATCCTACATATTTCTTGTGTTATAATGTTTATGTGGTTTAAAATAGTCATAATTCATTTTTGCATTACCTTTTTTATACTATCTTTATCCCATAGAATTAAACAGGCTTTTTCATTACTGTGCCTGTAAGACTGATATATGTAAATGAGCTCTGTGTTGAGCCTCCTTCAATATGAGTCTGGGCTGAAACACTCCTTATGACTTAAACGTGAATAGGTGGAGCTAAGCTGCTGTAGGCTAAGTAGGTGGATATATGTAAACGACGGCTTTCTGTGACATCACAAAAACACTGAATGCAAAATAGACTGTTTTTGAAGCTTAGTTTTCATCTCAGGCTGTATGACTAGGGAGCAAATGGTGCATTTTGAAACTTTAACAGTGTTTACACTCATATTTAAAAAAAAAGTGTGGAAAATTTGGTTTTCCATGATATGGGCCCTTTAATACATACATGACTTACATTCCCATGTCAGTCTAGTTCAAGTTCAGTTCAGCCATCCATGCTCCGCCCACAAATGTACTCTATCATAGCTACAGTTGCTATGTTAGGTATCTTTACAGAAAGTTGGCACACTTGTACACTTATAACTTATACACATTTCTACACAATACACATTTTAGTTTTACAAAAGCAATATTTTACCCAAATTTTGCCCTAAACTAAATGATGACAGGATTTATCAGTATACTACTCTCAGTGAGTTCAATGAAATACAATGGTTTCGTGTATATTTGCAAAGTATGTTATGTTAGGACATGTTGTTAAGGACGTGACTGAGAAGGCAGGTGGTGGACCGGAGCTCCAACGCAGTTGTATCACTAGGCTAACTACTGTAGCTGATGTTAGCTCGGTCCAGAAACAATGAAATACAAACCAACAGGCCACTTCATTGAGGGCACCACCTTGTTTCTACACTCACTGTCCATTTTATTAGCTCCACTTATGAGCACTTGGTAGTTCTAAAATTACACACTGTAGTCCGTCTGTTTCTCTGCTTACTTTTTTAGCCCCCTTTTACCCTGTTCTTCAATAGTCAGGACCCCCATAGGACCACCACAGAGCAGGTATTATTTGGGTGGTGGGTCATTCTCAGTGACACTGATGTGGTGGGGGTGTTTTAGTGTATGTTGCGCTGGTATGAGTGGATCAGACACAGCAGTGCTGCCGGAGTTTTTAAACTCCTCATTGTCACACAAACTGTGCAGCAACAGATGAGCTATCATCTCTGACTTCACATCTACAAGGTGGACCAGCAAGGTAGGCATGTCTGATAGAGTGGACAGTGAGTGGACACAGTGTTTAAAAACTCCAGGAGCACCACTGTATCTGATCCACTCGTACCAGCACAACACACACTAACACACCACCACCACATCAGTGACTGATGCGGTGATAAGAATGACCCAGAAAAAAAATCTTGCCTGCAGTTACCTGGATATCTATTCATCAATTCTTATTAATACTCAATATAATAATAATATTATACTCAAATATAATTAAAATTACTCAGGATACACATCCCAGGTCTCTACACATAATAAAGAAGCAGTCTGTGGTTGGTTATTTCGCATGTCAGTCAAACGGCACTTTCCTGCTGAAGTAGGTGGTTCTTGGCCTTATTAAGAGACACAACTAGATGGAATACTGGCTTGCAAGACAACCACTAGGCTAATGTTAGCTTGATTACACAAATCATAAAAACTACACCTGATCTATCCTAACAGTGTGACAAAATAAATATCATTTGAAATGGACAGCAGTCTATAATTGTTGGCATTTATGGGCAGAGCATAGAGCGGTCAGTTACAGTGCATTATTAAATATGGGACTTGTGGTTTTGCTGTCTGTTGCTTTTGGTGTTTTGATTTTGTATGCTGTCCATGCATGGCTTCTACAGCACAGACCAAACAGTCTGGGGACTCACTTTGAAATTTTTGTTGCTATTCAAAGGGCTGTAGCTGTTGGACGACTGTGTTTAAATTTGACCTGTCATGTTTCATCTTTTTCCTGCCACCATGATGCATTAGCTGTAGTGGAAAGCTCAGTCCCCAGACCGTCTGCTCTGATGTCATGCGGTTGGTCATGCACTGCTGTGTTGCTCGACCCTGAAATGGTTCTTAGAGCCGCATCTAATCTGTAATTCTAATATCTCAAGCTCTCCACAGAACTCTTTGCTGAAATTTAAAAGGTTTTGACCTGGTTTTTTTTGTGTGTTTTCAGAATCTCAGGTCGCTGCAATAGCAACTCATGCTATCACTATTCAGAGGATGGGTAGGTACCTTTCAAGTAGCCAGAATTTAATTGAGGAATTTACATGAATCATCTTTTATCTCCATCTTTACACAATGTTCTTTTATGACACTAGATGAAGGCAAAGAGAAACCAGAAGAAACCGCAGAAAAGAAAAGTAAGAATCTCAACTTATTCAGTTGGCAGTGGCAGTTTCACATTGTCCTGCTACATTCATTAATGTGAACATTATCATGGATCACTGGTTTCCAATTTCAGAGCCCCCTGCTCCAAAGAAGAAAGTTAAAGTAGCTCCTATGAAGAAAGGTAGGAAAGTTACTTCAAATCAATATTTTGGTCAAAACTGTGATTAAAATAATTTCTTGCTCTATAATCAATATATAAGCCACCTCAAGTTCAACTTTCCAAATACAGCACTCTGACTGTTTGTTAACTGAGAACTTAATGGTATTAACCCCGTACAGGGCCTGCAGTGTGGCTTTTATTACACACTTCTGTAAACGAAGAATTGCTAAAATAGTTTACATCGAGGTCCCCTGTAGTCACTGAATAATAACCCTTAGTATGTAGTAAGCCTGGGATTTTAAGAGGTTAATAGATGTCCAAGCAAAACCTTAGAAACCACCTGTAATACTTCAGCAATGGCCTAGCAACACTTTAGCTACCACCTGGAAAACCATCGTTACAGCCAAGCAACACCTTAACAACAATTTAACAACCACCAAGGAGCACCCCAAAGGAAGCTAAAATACCACAGCAACTTTGTAGCAACTTTTAATACTGATTTCAAAGAGGAAATCAGATTTTTCAGATTTTCTACATAATTGAATCATTAAGATGTATACATAGTCATTCAGAGTGGTTTGATTTGAAATGCTTTTTTTTTAAAAGTAGAGGGGTACCGGGTGTTGTTAGGCAAAATACCGCCAAAAGATTTACCACTGTTTTCTTTCTTTAATCTTTCTTCTTTTAAGAAGGAAGTAAAATTATTCTTCAGTGCAGTGAGATACGTTCACTTGACAAAATTGTCTTAAATAAATAAAAGCAGGGGAACAACTTGAACAATTTTTCACTATTTAAGATATAATTTTCGCTGTATAGTTTTTTGTGAGGACGTTAAAACACTATCACAGAGATATCAGGTCCATTTAACCCTTTTGTTTTGTTATTGTTTTGCACCAGTCTTAGCATCAAAAGAGAAGGCAAAAGCAACCGCTCTGAAGAAAGGTATAATTACTTACAATAATTATTGTATTTGGTTACATAAATGTTGTATATAACCCAAACAGTCTACTCTTTTGTCCTGTTGTTCACACCATTGTATCTGTTACAGAACAAGAGGCACCTAAAGACAAGCTCCGACTGATCCCCCGTAGACGAGGTTAGTTATAGAGTGAAAGCTAAAGTATTAGCTTTGACATCTAATCAAATGTAAAATCTAAATAAATTTAAATCACCAAATTGGCTCTTTCTATGCAGAATGAATTTTAATGGCCAAGTAAGACATCACTTACAAGGAATTTGTCTTGGCAGTAGCTCACCTTGAGATAAACAAGTAACAAGTAATTAAAAAGAATGTAGGAGTGATGAAAAATTGTCTGTGTTGCAACAAAACGGTAACTTTACAGAATAAGAAAAAGACATTTGTAACTTTCATGTACAAATCTCAGTTCCAGAAAAGCTGGGACAGTAAGTGTAATGCAATTAAAAACAAAAAGCATTGATTTGTGAATCCTCTTTGACCTGTATTTAAATGAAAACAGCACAAAACAAGAAATTTAAAGTTTTACCTTCTAAGCTCCTTTGTTTTTTGTAAATATATACTCATTCTGAAATTGATGAAAGTTGTAATAAGGGCAATTCAAGACTAGAAAAGTTGTGAAATGTTAAAAAAAAAAAAGATTTTAAACAGGTGATGCAATCCAATCCAATGCTGGTCCTTCAAGACCAAGAATGGGTTGAAATTCCTCAATGAGTGACTGTAAGAAGTTTAAGTATTTCACCCTCTATGGTGCATATAATCATCAAAAGATTCAGGGAATCCAGAAAAAAATCACTGTGCATAAAGGGCAAGGCTGAAAACCACAACTGAATGTCCCATGACCTTCGATCGCCCACTGACAGTGCTTCAAAAACGAGCATCCTTCTGCAATGGATATCACCACATGGGCGCAGGAATACTTTGACAAACCATTGTCAATAAACACTGTCTCTGTATCCACACATGCAAGTTAAGACTGTACTGTTTATAGCAGAAGCCATATATCAGTAACATCCAGAAATATTGCTGACTTTTCTGGCTCATCTGAAATGGACAGTGGAAGTTTATTTTGTGGTCTGGCAAGTCAACCTCTTCAAAGTCAAAGAAGAAAAGGACCATCCAGACTATTAGCAGTGTAAGGTTTAAGAGTCTATCATGGTATGGGGGTGTGTTAATGCTCATAGCACATCTGCACATCTGTGAAGACATCAATAATGCCGAAAGATATATACACATTTTTAAGCAACACATGCTGCCTTCTAGATGACGTCTTTTTCAGGGACACACACACCTATTTCAACGTGACAATGCCAAGCCACCTTCTGCTTGTGTTTTACTGGCTTGCCTGCAGCCCAAAACTGTCTCCTACTAAAAACATGTGATGCCCAAAATACAACAATGAAGGCCCTGCATGGTTGCACAATTACAGACTTGTAGAACAGAAGAATGGCAAAATATTCTGCTTTTAAAACTGGATCAGTTTGTGTCTTCAGTCCCCAGATGATTAATAATTGCTATTAAAAGGAAAGTTGATGTAATATAGTGGTAAACATGCTGCTATCCCAACTTTTTGTGAACGTGTTGCAAGCATCAAATCAGGAATGAGAGTAAATTTGCAAAAAGAGAGTAAAGTTAATAAGGTAAAACATCAAATACAAGTCAAAGAGAATTTACTAATCGCTGCTTTCTGTTTTAATGTACTGTTTTACTGGCACTGCTGAGATATGTAGTTTTAAACAATTTTCTTGTCTGCCTAAGACTTTTACTCAGTACAGTATATAAAATAAAAATTTCTTCTTTAAAAAATGTTTACAATATTTGTATTCTAATTGTCCTGATATCTCCCACAGAAACACAGAAGCTGGTCAAGCCTACCAAACAAGTCACACCAGGTAAGTATATGTACAGTTTAGAATAACCACTATTGATGCCCATTTGAACCGAATTCTGATGACTAATAGAATTTTTTTCTCCATGCAGTGAAAAGGAGGGTCAGACCAGTGGAGAAAGGTTAGTCTAAAATAAATACCTCTATCCACTTCACATGTAATTATTTCAATCTCTTATAATAAACCCATTCTCAACAACTCTGACAGACCACTCATTTCCTAATATGACCTACTTTAATGATCAGTTATCTTCCACAGAGAAAGAGCACATATTATTGTTCAGTTGGTGCATTCTACTGGTCTGCTGAAGTGTTTGAGTCAGTTTATGAAGGCTTGAGATTCCATTATGTGAGTCCAATACAGTCTAAAGACCAAGAGAAGCCATTTAGAGCTGTAGACAGCATTATTCTGTATATAATACTGTATGAAGAGTCCTACTGCTAAAGACCAGTTTAAGTACAGCTTCTCAAAAAGCAGGGTAACCTCTGAAAAAGTTTTTAAATTTACAGTAAAGGGCCCATATCATGGAATAACTGACTTTTCACTGCTCTTTTAAAATAAGAGTTGTAGTATAGAAACACTTTCAAAGTTTACCGTACCATTCACTCCCCAGGTCACACAGTTCATATGAAAACTAAGCACATTTTAGCCTACAGCAGTTTAGCTCCACCCATTCACACTGAAGTTTTCAGGAGTGTTTCACCCTGGACTGCTTTTTGGAATGTGGCACAATACAGGACAGCCAATCAGAACAAAGCTCATTTACATGTATCAGTCTTAAATGCACAGTAACAAGAACAGCCTCTTTAATTCTGAAAATGAATTATGGCTATTTTTGGTCCAAAAAACATACAATTATTGTAGTTGGACGTTAGTGGAAAATATGTAAATGCAAGTAATGTAATGTAAGGTTTGGGCTCTTTAAGGGTCGGTTTCCTGGACAGGGGTCACGCCTAATCTTGGACAAAATTCTAATGTCAATATACTTTTTCCCACTAAAAATCCTTTTTCATCTATATTTAGGTTTAATATTGGTCTGGGAAACTGGCTTATGTTTCTGCTGAATTACTGAATTACTACATTACTGAATGTATTGGTCTAAATTGCCAAGCTTGAAGACTTGCTTGAATATCAGAATAGTAAGGAATCTTCATTGGAACCCAAACCACAGTAGAAAAAAAAAACACATCCTGCACAAATTAAAGATGTTCTGTGAACTTACCCTCTCAGAGTGGAATGTTCTACACGCTATTAATTGCCAAGTTAAGTTAATTCTACTTTACTTCATCTTTGAGACTTTGGAATAAACTTCAGGAAATTGTCCAACTGAATTAAGCTGACCTTTCTGTCATCAAAGAAAGCCTGTGCTTGCAGTAACAATGTTTTGTTTTAAAGAAACATGTCCGGACTAGAATGCCAAATAAGTAAACCAGCACGGTCTCTTCAGCAGAGCCCAGAAATGGACAGAAATACAAACTAATCCTGAAAGCCAGGCAGGGTAGAGGGGCCTAAAGCCATCCTCAAGTAAACCTCTTGTTACTTCAATGATCTCACAAATCACATAGAAGTAAACATAGCTACCAAAAACAAACCTAAAAGTACAAAAAAATCAAGTCAAAAACTTCTGAAGGAGCTGAAGTTTGTTAAGCACTGCTCTTCTCATTTTGAGATCCTTTTGGCTTAAAATAAAATGCTAAAGCTTCAAAGTGAGGAGTGTGAGCAACAGTAACCAGTCCAGGAGCTGAACCAACACAACAGAAAGAAATGATTATCTCAATATGAATGGCTAAAGTAGACATGAAGAAAGAACACATTTCTTTTCTCACAAATATGCAAGAGAAACAATCATATCAGTATTAGGAAAATCAACATTCAGGTTTCTAAGAATGTATTGGTAAGGACGAGATAGGTAGATTAAGGCAGAGATAGCATAGCTGTATTGCTAAGTAGGTTTATTAATCTATCTGAGATTAGCCTCAGCTAATCTCTTTTCATTAGAAAAAATGAAAAAACACTGGCTCATCGCACACTGACGAGAAAGTACCCTGTGTAGAAGAGGCCTCATCAGCAGTGTGTCACTTTTTTAGCTCTGTTAGCTCATTAGCTAATCTGCAGAGGTAGCCTCCATTACTCACCCAACATGGAAACTTGCCCCTCAGCTCTTCTGGAATAATAAAATGTGTTTATCTTTGTGCTGCTATACTTTTGTGCGACAGCAGTGCTACCACCTAAAGTTCTATGAGTCAGAATGCACAACCCTAATTGGTGTTGGCAGATATAAGCTTAAAAATTAAATCGACGCTAGACATATGTTTAGATTTTGGAATTCAAACCAATATTTAAAGGCATATTTATCATATCCCAAAAGAGCAGAATATTTAGGCAACGCTGGGCTACTGTGCTAAAATACCTGCATTTTATAAATTTTTACTATGTTCTATTTACATAGAAAGAACTTAATATCAGCATCTGCCAAGAATTCCATATTGGTGCATCCCTAAAATTGCTTACAGATAACCCCTTAAAATCCCAGGCTTATTACATACTAAGGCTTATTATTCAGTAACTACAGGGATTCAAAGCAAACTGGCTGAGCTATTCTTAGGTTATAGAAGTGTGTAATAAATAAATAATGGGCAAGCCCTGGCTATTTAAGGGATTAAACTTACTTATGTGATGTGGCAGCAGAATACAGACGCTCGCGGATGTAAGAAGAATGACAAGTTTAATATGATCAGGCAAACAAAGCAAAAGGGCAGAGCAAAAACGAGGTCACAAAAACAGGCAAGGAAGTCAAAAACACAGGTCAGTCAAAACAGGTAAAGGCACAAAAGGGGTAAGGCAAAAGGCAGAGTTGAAAATATAAAATGGTGGTCAATAAACAGAAAAACAGGCAAGAATATACAAACGCTCAGTAGATCACAAGGATACAATACTTCGCAATTAGTCTAGCTAAAGCCCGGGCTTTTAAAGTAAACTAACTAGTCATGTGAGCAGAAACACAGGTGACACCAGTTAGTATTCCGAAGATGTAGAGCGCTGATTGGTGCGCAAGCGGGAGTCAGAAGTCACGTGAGTCCCCACTGTATTGTGGGAAATGGAGTCCGTGTCTGAGTCCAAGTCGGAGGGAAGTTGCTCCGTCATGTGATCTCCCAGAGGAGTCTGGGAAATGAAGTCCGGTTCTTTGCTAAAGGTCGTTGAATGTGTGACAACTTAAGCATATGGGACCAAGAAATGAACTACTTACTCCTAGCACTAGGGTTTTTACTCACAACAGTAATCACTTATCAAGTAGTAATTCCATCTCTCAAACTGTAATAGGAATACTTTGGTTGTCACTTCTTTTCATTTTTTTACTTCTGCAATTCTCTAAAATCCAAACAAGTCTGTACCAATTTGAAGGAACAAGAAATGACCAGCCGATAGACTCTTCATTTAGTGAGAAATAGCCACAGTAAAAAGTATTTAAACTGTAATATGTTACACTTTTTTGAAGGTCAAGATTCTGTAGAAGAGACTCTGTACCAACGGCAGATCGTGGCTTTGGATCAAGCACAAACAGCCTTAAGTTGTATTTTGTGTGCTAATGGCTTCCACATTAGCATTAACATTATAAATATGAACGCATACAAATACATTGTGAATATTGTAACAGCTTTAAAAGTTCTTATCTCATTTAAAACCTGCCTAAAGCTACACACTTATCCTGCACAAGACAGGCCCTAATTACAAAAACACACATTTGTTTTGCAAGCTTGTGTATGACTCCAAACAAAATTGTCTGCCATTATAAACTGACAAATCATCCAGCGATGTGGTTTGGAGGCGAACAATTATATTGTAATTATAAACGGGCAACATATCCAGCTGATGCTATTAGAGGTAATTGCAGCCTTGGTACATTAATCACCTGAAAAATTACAAAGGTTTTAATCTATATCTGTGTTTTAGCAGGGCTGCTAGGACTTTTCTAAACACACTGTGTTTAATTTCTCTCATCTTGATTCAATTTGAGCATGTGTAGCTTCTAAGTTTTGTCATGCAGTCAGTGTAACTAGAAACCAGAACTAAAACTGAATCTTTTGTAATCAACCATTTTATTCATAGTTCTAATGTCAATCTAATACATTTTATTTGTGTCAAACATTGAAGTTCTGCTCCAATTTTTAAGTTATATTTTCTATATTGGGAGGTAAAACATTACTGAAAGCCAGTGGTTGCATAGAAAGTCATTCAGGCTCACTAACTTTCTGTTCTTTTAATTATCTCATTATAAACAGAGGAGAGGAAAGCAACCAAGCATGTGAAGCCCACTGTTGAGGGTAAGTAGAGATGCTGTATGATTTTGTTATCATTTTTTGTAAGAGAAAGATTATGCATTAACTTTCCTTGTTCATAGACTTTACTAACTTTAAAGTATACTTCAAAGTATAGTTTGCTGTAGCTGAAGTGGAAAATGTTCTTAATTAGTTCATGTTTCTAAAGTAAATGTGAGAAGTGCCTGTCACGAGCCTGAGCAACATGCTGTTATAGTTTCTGAACTCATTTATAATTATGTCTTTTCAGCTGATCTTTGGAGTTTATCACATCTTTGAAAACTATGTTAGAGACAGAAAAATCAGGGCTAAAACTGCACAGGGTATGACAACTTGGTCATGGTACCACTTTATAGTAAGACTACACTCTTAAAATAATGGTTCTTCAAAGGTTCTTTAGTAAAGAAAATGGTCCTATATAGAGCCATGAACACTCAAAGTACCCTTTGCGTGATTAAATGGTTCTATGCATTGTGAAATGGGTCTTCAGATTGATGGAGAATATGTTGTGTATAGTTTCTATATAGTACCAAAAAGCGTTCTTCTATTCTGATTCTGAAATTTTAAATGAATATAGTCTGAGGGTCACTGCCTTGTGTGGAGCATTACAGTGCTGTACACAACAAAGGAAACTATTTTAAAAGTGTTGTATATAGTTTCCACTTTTGCGACTACAAAAGGTCTATAACTAAAGAATACATGTTTTACAAACATCTGTTAGCAGTTATAACTTCACACATGCGTTATCTACTTACTTACCAAAAAGATATTTTGTAAGCATATATACACTGTTAGAAATAAAGGTTTTGTGCAGGTACATTTTTCATTCATCAAGGTACAAACAATGTAAATGTGCTTTCAAAGGTACAACACTGATTTCTAAGGTCCACCTGTGTACCTTAAATAAGTTTTTCCCAGGTGAGAAGTATGTACTTATACCTTTCATAACCTAGTAAATAAAATAAAACAATAGAATAAAAAGCCTGGAGACGAGACGGGGTGTGTGGAGTCAGTACAACTTAGAAAATATAATTTCAATGGATTAAGGAACAATTACGTTCCCTGACTAAAGGTACTGAGATTGCACCCTTGAGGGGACAAGAGGGGGACTGCCCCAGTGACAGTTTACTACTTTTTTCCTGAGAGTGTACATACTGGACAAAATATAAGTTAATGTCACTATTAGAAAGTTATGCATTTCAGTAATATGCTGCAATGATTTGTACACATGTTGTGCAACTCATTCATTATTAGTGAAAGGGGTACACAATGCACAGTCTTCTGTAATTTATAAACATTTGGACATTTTCAAATTCTAGTAAAGTGTTATTTGTTCACAGCTATTAATAGTAAGTTAATGGTTTATCAAACAAAGTTATTACAGAGTATTACCAGTAAGTTTATTTGAGATTACTTAGCAAGTAATCAGCATGATTTGAGGCATTTGTGTGAGGATTTATGTGGTTTACATGATGCACATTGGTGCAGTATTAGCCTCTTTGTTAGTTACATTACCCTTTAGCTCCTAGTTTCAAACTAAAGAAGCAAACTTCAAATAGCAAACATGTCTTGGCAGATCGACTACATTTAGGGTAAGTAGGGAATTGTGTGCACTTTGATTTTTGGCCAAATCATCACTTTAAATGAACTTGATCCAAAATTCTCATTTTCAGTGAAATGCAGTCTATACAAAGAAGAGCAATTCAATCAATATCTTGAAGAACTTGGGCTTGAAGCCATTCAGTTAAAGGCCTCAAGTCGTTGGCAGCCTTAAATTTCATTAAATCTCACTAAACTTTCAGTTCATGTTAGTTTTTATATAAAGTTTTGAAAACAAACTTCCACATATGTTTATTGTCATTAAATGTAATTCAGTGCAAAATCACATTAGTGCTTAGTGTGTGAAGAGGATGACAGAAAATCAACACCTTGTTGTTCGCTGTCACATCATATAAGGCTGATGAAACAAATACAGTGTGATGCTTCTTGGTAACAGTGTTTTTTTTCCTGTGTGTTTTATACTGTGTTAATAACATAAGAGTAATATCTTTGGTTGTTTTTTTGGCAGATAAAAAGAAGACTGCTCCAGCAAAGATTAAACAAGCTGCTAAAGCAAAAGCTCCAGGTATGTATTCATGCTTCAGGTATTACGCAATTTCCTTCTTACTCAAAATGTAGTCGATCAGCCAGGACATGTTTTGTGTCCAAAGTTTGCTTCTATAGTTTCATGCTAGTGATGCTAATGCTGCTAACATGTGATAAAAACTTATTATATCACATGTTGTCAAAGTTCTGGCTTCAAGTGGCTGCTAAATCTGTTATTAGCGATGTAATGCACTTTTCTCTGCTTTTGTAGATAACACTATGTCATGCTAAATAAGTCTATTTGAGATTACTTACAGGGGAATATTTCTGCTTAATTCAGTAGTTAAGATGTAAATAAAGTCATTCGGAGTAGATTGATGTGAAATGGTTCATTGTAGAGAAACTTAGCGACTCTGATTTCTTTATAGTGGTGGTGATAGGAACCTGGGGTCACAATGACCACAGCGCAAAAGTAGCCATTTAAATAACTATCCAAAACCACCAGTGAACCTACACATGTCTTCTGAGTTTTTAAAAATAATGTCAATAATGATAAAATAGTGCTAAATTTGAAACAAAAAGTTTTCTTTGGGTGCTATTTTGTCTCAAAATGAACTATGTGTATGGAATTAACTGAACTGATTTAAAAATATATATTGCTGCTGTCAGAAAAAAACCTTGTATCTCAATTTTTGTCATTTTTCAGTTTTTGACATAATTTGAAAATGCCTATTGTCCTTTACATTATATGTAAATTTCATGATGAATGGGCCAAAAGAAATGGCCCCAAATGACTTGGAAAAAAGTTGGGTTCCATTGAATTACATTAAAAGTAAAGTAGGTTCTTTCCTTTTCCTGTAAAGTTATCATTTTGGAGATACAAGGTTTTCTTCTGACAACAGCGATATGTTTTTGAAAAGTGTTTTCCGTCTTAAAATTACCATAAAACAATCTCTCAGCCTTCAGGCAGTGTATCTATAAGCATTCCGTTTTATAGCTCTCTGGTAGATAGCTTCTAGACACATTTAAATCTTCAGATGTCTGGTTCCTATCACCATCATTGTGAACAAGTTTTTTTACAACAGAGTATTTCACATAAAACCACTCTGAGTGATTTTGTTTACATCTTAATTATTTGATTATGCAAATATTTTAAAGAATCCTCTTTGACAACAACTTTGACATGACTGATGATTTAGGTATGCAGTTTGCTAATCAGTGGTCATAAACTTAAACATAAACTAACAGTACTTGTTAGCCATATAAGCACCTCCAGTACAAAACTAAAGAAGCAAACTTTGGACTGCAAAAATGTCTTGGCTACATTGTGCAAATTTGATCTGTTAGCCAGAAACTGATGAAAAGTAGATGTATGATGCCACTCTTTGCTTTTCAATACTGATATTGAAATCGTGAGTACCAGCCAACATAGATACAATTGCATGCCGCTCATTTTAAAGCTTATTAGTTTCTGAAGAAAACATAGACAAAACATATTAGTGATGAAAAAGACGGGGCCATATCTACTTTCCATCCATCGGTTTTTGGCCAAGAGATCAATTACACAGCTAACAACATGACATCACACACTGTGAGTGGGTGCTATTCCAGGATATGTTTATCACTGTGTTCATTCATTTTTCCATCCAATATTTGATTCAGCATTTTCTACTGATATCAATTCAATACTGATACGCATCAATTACTAATATGCCATCTCTAATGGAAAGTCTAAAGATTTAACAATGCTTACTTTTGTATTCCCTTTGATCTCTTTAGCAAAAGAACCTAAAACCGCAGCTGTAACAGGTGAGTAAACTGTCAAGTTCAATAGATTCATTTGTGAGATATTGATTCAATATATTGTAGTTTATATATTATGCACCACTGGATAAATGCTGTTAGGATGTACGCTCCATAAAACTATATTGTTTATCTTATTCCACAAGTGATCATATGGCAACAGCTGCAATCATTCAAATCCTTGTTAAACTCTTAACTCCAATTGACACAAGAAAATTGGATCTGTCAAGCCACGTAACTTTAGAATAAAAGCCTGACAGACATTCTGTACTCTTATGACAGCAATGATGAAATGAGCGTCGCTTTGATTGCCTGTTACATCACTCTGTAATTACAGACTACTGTGTATTCCTGGCACAAAGGGACAAAAAAAGAAAAAAAGAGCAGAAATCACTCACTTTTGAAGGTTGATTTGATGGTCTTGCTTACGTGATTTTGCAGAGGTGTCAGATAGTGTTGGAGTAATGCCACTGGATGAACTGAAGCAGCAAAGGTCATGTTTCATGCCATATTCCCTTTTATTCACAGGTAAAGCCGCTGCAGAAGAGAGAAAAGCTGCCAAGGACACAGAAGGTATGTAGAAACTTTAGTTATTCAACCTTTGATATGAATCAGCTCTGAAGCAGTTTTCAAAAATTCTTTCCTTAAATTGCTTCCTAGAAAAACCGGCAGAGCCACCTGCACCAGCAAGTAAGTACAGCCTTGTGTCTTCCAAAAGATAAAGAATGGCAATGGGTTTAGGTTTGATGTGCCACATGATGGTGAAAAACCTAACCACATCTCAGTCCATCTCAAGATGCTCAAAATGGATGCACATACAATATTAATTCTGTGTATTTAAACTAGGGCCTGACCGATATATCGTTTTGCCAATGAAATTGTCCAAAAATAAGATTCCATAGATTTGTTGTTGATTAAAATTTCTTCTGTAAAGCGCCAATAATGTCTGTTTAAATGTTGTATAAGAGAAATACAGGAGTTCAAGTCTTCATATATTAATATCACATGTACATGCCCCGAAAGAAGAGGTTTAGGTGTCATGTTCAAAATCAACATTATCCTGATGTAGTTTTGATGAGAATAGTAGATTGTTCATTTACATCCTCAGAAGACTCGCCCTGTCACTAAGTTTTGACTAAGTTCTCTTTGAATACTCTTTAAATGCACTAGTAGTCATCAGATTCCTTCGTGTAGTTGTTCTTCCACATTGCATGCAATTACACATTTACACCAGAATTTACACAGTGCAGCTTTAAGTAAAACTAGTTTATCTTAAAAAAGGCTTTTATTCTCAACAAAACAACATTTTTAACAGCTATTAATATTTTCGGTTATCAGACTAGTATCTGTATCAGTGATAAAGTTTTCATATCAGTTGGGCTCTAATTTAAATCACAAATGCATATTTCATGTCTTATTACCATAAGAGTTCAAAGATATCTTACATACTTGCCATTTGTAGAACATGGGAAAACTACCAAAACCACCAGGCATCACTAAGGTACCATCTCCATTTACCGATCTCAATCAATTAACATCACTGTGTTCAAAAAACTGGATCCAACTATTTCACTAAACACACACTCACTGTCCACTTTATCAAAAACCCCTACATTGCACGTCCACTGACTGTCCACTTTATGATGTCCACCCACCTTATCAGTTCAACCTTTGCCGTTATTATATCTTTTCCTTTTCAGGAGTCTTGCTTTCAGATTTTTAAAGAAATCTGCAGGAATGTTTTTCTATACCAAAGTTCAGTCTTAGAAGTTGGTTGCATTTTTGGTTCTCACAATTCCAAGTAATCCCAATTTAGGTTAATAATTCAATAAAATCTCACTCTGCATCTCAGAAGTCCAGATTTTGGTGTTCTAGCACAAATTTTCTTTTGTGTTTTTCCTTTTTTAGTAAGGGCTTCTTGACAGCTGCACATCCTTTCAGACCCATAGCACTGAGTTGTCTTCTCACAGTGGAAGCATGGACAGAAACACCTGTGGATTTTTTCAGATCTGAAGCAAGAGCTCGATTTTCTCATCTCTCTCAAATACGAAAGCTTTTAATACTGTTTGTCCAATCAGGTCTTGCACGGTTGTTAGGAGTCCCATTTTCTCTGTATCTTTTAATCATTTGTGAACTGCAGTTTTGGAAGCTTCTGTTTTTTACTTGTTTTTCTTTGACTTTCTCCTTCCGGTAAAGCTTTGTTTGGAGTGGTCCTTTGTAGATGATTAATAAACTCTTAACAGATTATCAGTAACACATCAACAACTTATCAGTAAAGTAGCAGTAGTGAAGCATCTGAATATATTGAGATAAATATCTTGCAGATGTTCTGTTCATACATTACTTACATTACATAGATGTATTGTTGATATGTTACTTCCATCATGCAAAACCTAACCTTACCCAACCTTACCCTAATCCTAACCCTAACCTTAACCTCAACCCAAAATTTAATCCTGTCATATGTATTTTTTGCTGAGAGTCCATTGAGTGTTTGTTTCGTCTAAAAGGACCACTCAAAATAAAGTGTCACCTCCTTCCTCATGCAAGTGGAATCTTACATCTAATTTCCTAAGAAATATGCTCTGATAAATCATTAACACTGACTAAAAATTAAATAAAAGAAGGGTGCTCTCTGATTTTGCACAGTACTCTAGGTGTATAATTATAGACAGTAGCCCATCTGTTGCTGTACAATGCATCTGCCCCCCTCTACCCCATTCATCATGGACAGTTTCTGACCGCCATTGTTGACCAAATATTATTTCCATGTGCCCAGCTGAGAGTAACTCTGTGATCAGAACTTGACCACTGATGAATGGCTAGAGGATGGCTAACACAAACCGTACATCACCAGGCTACAATTTTGAACTGTACACCAACAAGGTGGAGCTTCACGACAGGGGTTTCTAATAAAGTGGCCAGTAACAGTATGCTGTTGTATTCCCAGAAAAGCATTAAGAAAAATAAAAACTCTATTTTTGAAGCGTTATCAATAAACTGCACTTTAAAATGTTAACACACTGCAAGCACAGCGTGGTTGACAGTATGTGACGGCAAGAAAACACACTCTGCCAGTCCTGTCATTTTCAATCACCACCCACTTCCTGTAGATCACAGAGCGCTGCTGATTTTGGATTTATTTGGGTTTGGTTTAGATGGTCTGATCACTGCAAGAATGCACAGTTGGTTATTCAGCCTCATGCTCTGTGAACAGCGGTCTAGTGCTCAGGCTTACCTGGACTGAAGCCCAGCAGCCTTAATTAATTCAGGGCCTCTGATTGGTGGAATTTTATTTATTTGCCCTCCACCATTTTTGTTTTTTGTGAGTGCTGGCATTGTGTTATGGCCAGTCAAATCTTTACAATCTTCACTAGGCTCTGCCTTCTTTTCTTTTTAGGCCTCCAATCACTCCATAGCAACCATCGCAATCCATCATTGTCACAAGCCTTCAGTTTGTTATCGGTGCACCAGTGGTTGAATTTAAAACTCTGGGTTAGGTCTACATCATCAAGTTATCAGCCTCTGGGCACCAATGTTTGTCAGCAACCTTTTTTGGGTGGTCAGTGACTTTTTATGACAGCAGGTTACACGAGGCCTATACAGCACCATGATGGCAGCACACTCACTGCAGTGTTGGGCACGTCACCGCTACATGTGTATAATTTTTCCTATTGAGACAAAGCTTGATTACACACACATTAATGAGAGCACAGGTTCCCAAGCGACACATTTACCCCATTGGACAGATAAAAATACACATAAAGAAAAAAATACCAAATTTAAAAACACAAACCATCAAGTATCCTAGCCAAAGCATGCTTCTATGGTGACCAAGAAAACTCTTAGATAGAACTGCTGGTCAGAAATGCAAAGCAAAACCCCCATATGACAGCAGATGACTTTCAGGAAGGTTTAGCCGACACATGAGTGGTGGTGCACCATTCTACTTGCACAAACATGATTTGCATGGTAGAGTCATAAAAGTCAGTATCAGAAGTATGCATGTAGTAGCCACAATATCTAAATAACCAAAGGCATTTTAGAAACCGATAAGGTAAAAATGGAACTCTTTGGCCACAATCACCAAAGATATGTTTGGAGAAAAAAGGAGCAGCATTTGATGAAAAGAACACCTTGCCAGCTGTTAAGCATGGGGGTGTATCTATTATGCTTTGGTTGTTTGGCAGCTAGTGGCACAGAAACACTGCACAGGTGAATTTAGAAGAAGAATGGATTCCACTAAATATCAGCAAATGTGACACAGTCAAGAAATTATAGCTGAAAGGAGACTGGCTTCTACAACTGGACAATGATCCAAAATATCTAGAAATCCACCATGAACTACTTCAAGAAAGGCAAGTTGAAGCTTTAGAAAAGGCCCCCACAGTCCCTGGACTTGAGCATCATTAGAAATTTGTGGGTAGATCTTAAGCAAGGTCCAGGATTAAGAATCACTGGTTCAAGCAAGCACCTTATATTAATATTCAGACTGTAGTGGTTGACCACTGTGGTTATTTTTTTGATGATGCCCAAAGTGCTGGATTATACTGAGCATGCCCTCCAGCTAAACTGTGACTTAAGATGCTGATGATTTTATCAGACTTTGCTTACACTTTCCACTAAATAGCATCTCTATTCACTCTTCTCATAATTCTCAGCATTCTCTCCTCAGCCTTGTCTTTTGAGCTGCTTGTTTACAAATCACTGGATGCTTAACATTATTTCCAAACCCTGTTTATCCTCCCATTATAGCACCTTCTGAACATCAGTATTGAAATTCAAGGTTACCTCTATCCTCCTGGTCTGGTGTGTGTAAATATGCTTTTTCATGTCACCCCACACACTCCTTCAGGGTTAAATATCAGGTCCACAGATTACCTCTAACTGAAACCGCTGTGGTTACTGATACAGCGACCTGACCTTTAGTGTATTTTGCACTGTTTACTGTATTTTACTTGCCTGTTCCTAATATGACTCCATGCTTCTCTTTATGTGTTAATTAGAAACTGAAGAAAATGTCACGGAGGGCAAGAAGCCAGGTAAGCCCTCTGCTGCTTTCAGTACAGTTAAAATCTTTGACACTGCACATCATTTAAAGCCACTAGAACCACATACAGAAACTTCACAAAAGTTCACAAAAAATGCAACAAGTATATAATATTTTTTTTTATTGTTATTTAATAATTTATTTCTAAAGCAAACATTTTAAAGTGAAATAAATATTTCTGGAAAAATGTATAGTATACAGTATATTGTATGAGTAAATAATCTATAGTACGTAGAACTGAACATTATTTTTGGCCACCGTGCAAATCAATATTTGAATTTGTCAATATATTATCAATATCGATATATTAATTTGAAACATTTAAACAGTTGTATACAACTGTTTGGGCACTCATGGTCAAACTGCATGCACAATCACCATCATACATACACATATACACTCAACAATCACTTTATTAGGAACACTTCCTTGTTTCTACTCTCATTGTCCATTTTATCAGCTCCACTTACTATATAGGTGCACTTTGTAGTTCTACAATTACAGACTGTAGTCCATCTGTTTCTCTGTATACTTTGTTAGCCCCCTTTCACCCTGTTTTTCAATGGTCAGGACCCCCACAGGACCACCACAGAGCAGGTACTATTTGGGTGGTGGATCATTCTCAGCACTGCAGTAACACTGACGTGGTGGTGGTGTGTTAGTGTGTGTTACGCTGGTATGAGTGAATCAGAAACAGCAGTGCTGCTGGAGCTTGTAAACACTGTGTACACTCACCGTCCACTCTATTAGACACTCCTACGTTGTTGGTCCTTGTAGATGTAAAATCAGAGACGATAGCTCATCTGCTGCTGCACAGTTTGTGTTGGTCATCCTCTAGTCCTTCATCAGTGTCACAGGACGCTGTTGGCTGGATATTTTTGGTTGGTGGACTATTCTCAGTCCAGCAGTGACACTGAGGTGTTTAAAAACTCCAGCAGCACTGCTGTGTCTGATCTACTCAGACCTGCCCACCACATCAGTGTTACTGCAGTGCTGAGAATGATCCACCACCCAAATAACACCTGCTCTGTGGTGGCCATGTGGGGGTCCTGATCACTGAAGAACAGGGTAAATGGGGGCTTACAAAGTATGCAGAGAAACAGATGGACTACAGTGTGTAATTTTAGAACCACAAACTGCTTCTATGTGGTAAACGGAGCTGATAAAATAGACAAAGAGTGTCTATACAAGGAGGAACGTTCATTTTACATGTGTAATTTCATAAGGGATCAATCACCAATTTGTATTCTCCTCAAAGCCTATTTAATTTGGGAAATCTTCAGTTTGCTTCAGATTTCCTTTTCATTGACATTGGAATGCTGGATATGGTTACATTGAGTCTTTAGTTCTTTGACAGCTTACTTGAGTTCATTTGTCAACTGTCAAATGCAAAATCCACTGACCCTGAGTGAGAAGTGATTTGATGAAAGATTAACCCGCATTTATGTTCACTGACTCTAAATCAATTAAATAACTCACTGATGCATATTAGAGCTGAATACTTGTCAAACATCTTTCATTCAGGGCCATGTGGGTAATTACTCTGATTTCAGGGTCTTTAGATGAAAATAATTATGTAAATAATTTATTGAAGTAGTTCCAACCGAGGTGCCTAATGCACAGAACATCTGCTATGTCATTTAAATATTACCAGAAACACTGATCTTTAACAGGATGTGAAAGGATGTCAGTGCCCCCCACTACAATAACCACTGAATATTACCTTGAAAATGCATTGATCATGGCATGCAAAATCAATGCCAAATGACTTTGCAATGCTACATCCATGAATACATTAACTTATTGCAACAGTTGCTAGGTCAGACAAGCTTTACAGAACATTGACAAAAATCCCTTTTAGCCTGAACATTTTAGCACACAAATAAATGTCAAGTAGTGCTTTCCTGGCATCCACCAAACCCAGATTTGTCCCTCAGATTACCAGACAGTGAACCGTGATTCATCACTCCAGAGACCATGTTTCCACTGCACTAGAGATATGGCTGAGCTGTTGTTGCTCCTAGATGATTCCATTTCACAATAATGGCACTTACAGTTGACAGGGGCAGATCTAGCAAAGATCTGGAATCCTATAACAGTGCCAGTGAAGTCAGTGAGCTCTTCAGTACGATTCATTCCACTGCCAGTGTTATGGAGGTTGCAGTGTTATGGCTATGTGCTTGATTTTATGCAACTGCAACTGCATAAAATCAAGTGTAAACTCAATAATTACGATGGGTGTCATACTTTCGGCCATATAGTGTATGTGCTGAATTGTGTGCTATAATTTCTCATTTGTTTTATTTATTTATTTTTTTTGGCTATGTTCTGTAAAGATTGATCAAGAAACAAGAACATGGAAATATTGATATTTGAACCAAATCAGGATTGTTTTGGAAACTCTGGTAATAAATAATAATTGTTTTCTCTGTTCAACAGGAAAGATCCCATACTTTCAGTGTGTGTTAGTGGGTGGAAAAGCCAGCCAGTATCCATTACGCCCATTGTCTCCTGCTATGACTCCTGCTATTAACCCGGCCATGATGAGAGCCATGATGGAGCAGAGAGCCAGTGTGCTGGAGCAGAAGGCCAAGGCAGCGGGACAGTAACCCACCCGACTGTTCCAAGCTGAGAAAACCTTCCTGAGCTGCTCTTGAGCTGCTGCAACCCATTTAAAAATGGTATATACAGTTGTATGTAAAAGTTTGAACACCACTGGTCAAATATTTTCACTTGAGAAAATCAGCAAACAAGTTAGCATATCCTCTACAGAGAACACACTTCAATATGGCATTTCTTCTGGAAGTGTTAGTTGATTTCTATTTATTTGCACATTTGAACGTATGGTACTGAAACATAACATTTAAAATGTGCCATAATTGTGCACAGACAAAATGTTATTTTTTTCCCAATATGTTCAGTTCAGCAAATAAACAGTAGTTGTGCATTAAATTGTGCGGAAGTGGGTTCTCTGTAGAGAATGTGTTCATTTATTATTTTTGCATTACTTTTACCAGGGGTATCAAAACTTCTGCATACAACTATATTGCAATGTATTGTTTATATATTCCAAAATCTATGCTGTCAAAACAAATCCTTGGATCTCAAAAATGACAAATTTATGGGGAAAGAAAAAACATTCTTAACTTTTAACATGTCACAGTAATTAGACTTAATTCAAAGTAATTTTGGACCTTTTCTATTAGTCCATTCATCATTACATCTTCCCACAATGTAAAAGGCAGCTGGTATTTTCAAGTTAAGTCAAAAAAAAGGACAGAAAAAGGCAAAGAAGATCTTGTAGTGATATACCGCAATACATTTTCAATATATTAAATTTTTAAATGGGAAGCCTCCACACAGCTCTCCACTGAAACAGACACAAAAACTAAACACCTCAGACAGACCTCTAGTGTTTTTCTATTTATTTATCCATGAGTCTGTGGGTTTAGAGCTAAGAGTCTATTGCTTTATGAATGGCTTTAGCAGTTAACCCAAGCTCACTGTTACAGAAACGTGTATTTCATGCTGATCACCAACAATGCAGTACTTGTGAGAGGAGCACGAACAGTCAGAGCCTACACTCTTAAAAATAAAGGTGCCAAGGAGAGTTCTTTGGAGTGATGCCAGAGAAGAACTACCTATGGTTCCCAACCTTTCAAAGGAACCATGTGGAAGCGTGAAGAATATTTTTTCCCGGAGCAGTACATCCAGTAAACAAATATAATAATAATAATAATAATAATAATAACTAATTTGAGCACTTTTTGTTTTAGTTATGAAATCACACAAAATCTCAAAGTGCTTTACACAGGAATATAAGTAAAACATTGTAAAGATAAAAACACAATAATCCAAATAGGAGTGGGCAATATGACAATATGCGTCATTGTTGTGATAAATATGCAGCAATATGCTTTTTCTGAGCAAAATGTGAAAATCATCATTACTTAAAGAACATTGACTTAGTTGGATTTAGTGCAGCACACTATGTGAGAAGTTGAATAAAAATGATTGTACTCATAGTTTTTGATAGTATTTTAATATTGCTTTTTAAACATGGCACTGCAGGAGCATTCTGTGTGTTCTGACTTATTAAACCTCAGAAAAAGTAAATATTGTGATATTTATCATTCATCACGAAAATGTTTTTTGTATAGTTTTGCTATATCGCCCACCAATTGCTGACAGGAGAAACTGAGCCATAAATAAATAAATAAATACATACATATATCTGTATAAGAAAATGAACTTCCACCAACTGAGCTATAAAAGATCTGTATTCATTGCATTTGTGTACCGCATTCACTGAGACGTCCAAGCCAAGAACCCTTTAGGAACCTTTATTTGTAAGAGTGTACTAGAAATATGGGAATTGTAGTAGAGTTATAGAACATGTGAGTTTGCAGCTTTGTTTGAATCTAAAATTTATGTGTTTGAATGTACTATTTAGCTTAGTTTATATGAATGTACAGTATTCAAAAAAATCTGTTTACATTTGGAAGTTTTCTTCTTTTTTCTGCTAAATTATTTCACAGAGATTTAAATGAAGAAAACACAGTGTCTGGTTTAAATATTTATTTATTTATTTGACATTTAATTTATGAGGCTTTGAAGTAACAGTAGTAAATGTGTTTTGGCTATTTTCCAAAAATTCTAGCCATGTGATCATGAGAGGCCTTATCTGCTGGCACAGGCCATTTCCTTTGACTCACCGTAATAAGATTATGCAAAGAGCATCCGTGTTTGGTCACTAATATGCCTTTATCACCATCTGATCTGTGCTTTGAGTGCACTCGTGGTTTACAGCAGGTGGCCTTCTTCTAAAATACATTTGTTACAAAAAGCTTATCTCTCTTAAAACAATAAAGACATTTTTATTCTGCTACACTTGAAACCACAGAGCTTGACTGAAAGAAAATGAGTCACACCCTTAATTTAATGCCCTAATCTGTTGCTGTGAATGCTAATCGTTGATAAGACAGAGGTAAAGTAGTATTTAACATCTGAATGCTCTCGCAGAAGGAACCTCTCGTAGAATTTGCATTGTGGACAATGTCAGTTCAAAATAATAAGAAGTGCAGTGGAGTTTTGACTTTTCTTTGACTTTTTTACTATGACCAATACATATTTCACTACAAAAAGGATATACTGGCAAGACAAAGCATCTTAAATATAGACAATCTCCCTAATATTTCTCACGATGATGTTGAAAGTGTTTTATATGATTTTTTGGTAACACTTTAGTTGAACCCTGATACAGAACACTGACATAGCCATGCTATAAATGTGTCAGTAGTTGTCATGACAGATTTTGATCAGTAATGTAACAGTGTCATGTTACTATTACGTTGCCATAATGTTTGATGTCATGACAGCTTACATCACATTATGACATCTGTCATGACATTTACCGACATGACACTGTTATATTACTGGATGTAATCTATTATGTAATGATTATGTCAGTGTTATGCAGCAGGGTTGAAGTAAAGTGATTTTTCAGTCCAGTTCAAGAAATGTGATCTAATGTAAAGTGTTAAAAGTTAACAAGTACATCTTATTGCACTAGCAGATCTTATTTCCTTCAAGCGTTTCAAAAAAATAAATCATTGATACAATTAATTTAGTTTTATAAAATATGTTAAAAATCCACTGATTTTTCAAAATGTCTGACTAGTAGTTGAGATGTAAACAAAGCCATTCAGCGTGTATTAATATGATGATGGTTCATTGCAAATACACTTTCTGACTCTGATTTCTTTACAGTGGTGGTGATAGAAACCAGGGCTCACAATGTCTACAACACAGATATAGCCATTTTAATTACTATCAAAAACCTCCAGTGAACTTACATATGTCAGAGTTCTTATATGGAGTGTTAATAATGATAAAATAGTACAAAATCTGAAAATATTTCTTCAGGTTTCTTTTTGTTTTAGAATGAACTGTGTATAGATTTAAATTCTTTATTCTTATTCATTTAATTAGTTTTATATGTAATGTTGATGATGGTAGAATAGTAATAAATCTGGAAAACTACAATTTCTTTGGGGATTATTTTGCCTCACAATACCCTGCAATACTTGTCCACCAAAAATGGCTTTTAAAAATACATTTTTGGCCAGAAGTTTTTTTTTTTATTTTTTTTAAATACCTCCAATTCCATCCACTAGGTAAACGTACCCTAATCTCTTAATACTACCCAAGCTAGGAGAATGAAAGCTATTGCATGCTTCCTCCAAGTCCGCTGAAGCCAACCACCACATCTTTTCAAACTTCACTGGATAGCTTAACATGCCTGGAAGAGAACGTTAACTACCTGTTCAATTACCTCAGCTAAAAGATGCTTTCATTGGCTAGCATCATGCTGAGTGATGGGGGAGAGGGAGGACCATCCTACCCACCCAGACAGTGCAAGGCCAATTGTGCTCTCTTGGACTCCCTAGAAGGTTGCAGCATCCCTGGTGATCGAAATCTCCTGGTGACGCGGCCAACAAGTAGCTGGTCGTGCCACTGGAGCGCTTTCAAAACTATTGTGAAACAATCTCTCAGGTATCAGGCACTGTATTCATAACCATTTTATGTCATAACCTTCTGTGAGGGAGCTTTTAGGAGGCATTAAAAGCTTCAGATGTCTGGTTCTTATCACCATCACTGTGAACAATTCTGACTCAGAAGCATGGAGCGTTTTACATCAAACCACCCTGAATGGCTTTGTTGATGATTTGATCATGCAGGAACTTCACCTGTAAGTGTCATATAATAGGTTGGATAATCCTATAATGAAAACATTCTGATATTCTTGTTCACATTTAAGGTGTTTTTTCCTGCCAAAATATCGTTTTTTGCAGTGTTGAAGGTGGTGGTGTGGTGTTACTGTGTTGTTTGCTCACTGACGCCAGCACTGTCATGCTCCTGGAGCGTTTCCCAGTCTGCGGTAAATGCTCCAGGCCTTTAACTTGATTTTCTTCATTGTCTTATTCAAGCATCGATTTGTGTAAGATATCGATCTTTCATTTCTGTATATGAATGGTCACTGGACCTAAAATATGCACATAATGGCATTAGCCTTTGCAGAGACAGTAAGCCGCATGGGCAGATGAGGAAAGAGCAGAAAGCACCGCTTTGCATACAAAGTATATGACTTCATATGCTTACAGCGAGAATGTGCGGTGTATTTTCTGTACAGTTGTACTGCCATATGGTTGAGTTTTTGATCATGACAGACACAGTCAGCTGTAACAGCACGACTGAGCGGAGAGAAGTAGGCCACAGGAATAATCTCACTTTGAAGTTACTGGGTGCTGTTTGCTGCTCATGAACGTTGAGGGTTTCTGTTCGGCAGTTGGTATTCCAGTTATAGTGCTCTGAATTAACAGCAGCACTGGTGAGAAAACTGGAATATGTTTCAGATGATTTGTTTGTTTGTTTGTTTGTTTGTTTTGAAGAAATACCATTGGTAGCATCTGTGTGCAAATGTCCAGTGCTGGGCAAAGGTCAGAGACCACCCTTGATTTATTGAATTTCCTGTCAAAACTGACATAATTAATTAATTAATTATTCATTTTTCATAATCAGGAAAAAAGCTGTAAACACATTTAACCCTTGTGCGGTGTTCATGTTTGGTTACTCAGTGGTCTGGTGGACTCACCGCATTATTGTTTTTTTTAAATCAATACAGCCATAGCAATTTATGTAAAAATCCCAGAATATCACAAGTGGTCCATGTAGTGTTCTCCTTTAGCAGCTGTAGCCGATCAGCAGCCTGTCCATGTTGTGCACTCACACACACACATACACATATACAAACACATACACACACACACACACACACAATAACAGCAGA